CAGCCTCCACCATGAAGAATTCTCCAGCTCCAAATGCCAGTAGTGCTGAGTTGGCTGACCCTGGACCAGAGTCAAGTCCGGGCACTTGGATGTCCTGGAGTCATTTTCTAGAAGACTATGGAAAGCTACATCTTAAGGCAGGTTTGCTCCTGCCTTGCAGGGCCGCCTTGTTAAGAACGGTCTCTGTCCTGGACCAGACCGACACAACTTGCTTGTTCAGAACTGTTCAGGTCTTCCAGGACAAAACAAAATCATAAGCAAACTAAGGCGTATTTACCCCAGACCTCCTCCCTTGCACGACTGCACGTGGCTCTGACAAGTAGTAACAGAGAATAGACTCAAGACCCATGTTCCAGGGGTGAGAGTTTACCTAGGTCCTCATGCAGGTCTGAGACTCATCAGTGTTTGGGGAGAGGCAGCTTTTGCCACCAGGTGGGGACCGGCGGTGGATCGAGGACAAGGTGCACATGATAGAAAGAGGAGAGACCAGGCTGGTGTCAGCCCCAAAAGGTCAGATTCAGGTTCAGGGCGACCATCTGTGTTGAGTTCGGGGGGCGGGGGGCAGTGACTCTCAGATCCGTCTTCCTCCATCCCAGCCCCTGGCTTTTAATTCTTGAGCCAAACAGGACATTTGGATGCAGGAAACTTGACAAGGGTTGGGAAACGTCAAGGAGTATGGACAAGTCATATAGGATGCCCAGATGAATATTTTTTTCTCCTTGTCACCTGCAGGCAGTCTCAGATTAACCTGCCAATTCAGACAGAAGGTTTTGGGGGTAAGGTGGGCATGGTGACATGCTGGAGGTCAGGGCAGTGGAGATGCAAATATACAAGTTAACGGTTGGCTTCACACAAAATCTTAACCCCATAGTTTTCCCGATGGCATGAATGGCCAGCGCTTGAGGGGTGAACGGGCCCAGACATCTGGCTTGTGCATCCTGGCAGAGGGACTGTTGGTTTGCCTGCGATCTGGGTCAGAAAAATCTCACTTGTCTTGTACTTAGGGCAAAACCTGACCTCCTTTTGGAAGTCCAAAGCAGGTGGCTGCTGAGAATGTGCTTGGCAAGAAAATCCTATGTTCTAAGGCCAATGTCTAATTGGCCCGGGGTCGGTTTTCTTTCTGTGCATCTAGGCCTGGCTGGACCTTGGAAGGATGCACCCTGCTGGCTGGGGGAGAAGCTGGCTATCATGTCAGCAACTGCAAACTCATCTTTCCCTCGAGGCTATTTTTTTCTCATGAGACTCCTTTCTCAGCCTAAACGTAAGACTCTTAACTTTCTCTTCTGTCCCCCTTCTCCCCCACAGATAGGTCTCCAGGTCCTACTGATTCAACGCCTGGAGTGGCTTTATCATTACACCTGCCTCTTCCCTCATTCCAGCCTTGGTTACTGCAACATTCTACGGCTGGTTCAACAGACCAGCCGTCCATACTCTGTGTTACAGCCAGAACATTCTTTTCCAAGCACGACTCCAATGACCTTATGTTTCCCACGTGAAAAATGTTCCTAGGGATACCCTACTGCCTGCCAAATAATCTAAATTCCTTGACATGCACTCACCTGTCCCAAAGAGCTGGTCCCCGCTCACCTTCCCAGCATCCGGCTCATCACCTTCAAGCCTTCCAAAGCTGTGCCTGAAGCCAGCCCCCATTTACTGCAACATGCTCCCGTCTGTGCCTTTCCTTCCTCTCTTCCTACTTCCTGGAAATCTTATCTCCCCAGACCTGCAGGTGGAATCCCCCCATTTCTCAAACCTCAGACATTTATGTCGATTCTAATTGTGTGTCTACATACGAGCCTCTCACTGTCTACAAACAGAAACTGTGCTTTGGTTTGTACTCTCCACTGTGCCTTCCACATACAGGTATTGGTGAAGTGGAAAAGTAAAATTTGAAAGCTTCAATGGGCCAGGGAGTATAACTGGCTATTTTATGGGCATTATCTCATTTAGCCCCCTTTGCTATGTAAGTGGATATGTAGACTCGGAAAGGTTAAATCACCAGCCCAGGGCTGTCTGCGGAAACAGGGGAAGGGGGAAAGCTCAGAGTTAGCGTTTGGACTCAGGGCTGCTTCCACAGGCTCCATTTTGGTGGGTCTAAAGAATTTCCCTGAACAGAAGGATACCTAGCTGTCTCACTCCGTAGAAACCAAGCGGGAAAATACTCCTCTGCTCAGGGAGTTAAATTACCTCTGCTTCTTTCCTAACACAAGGTGCTGGCTTTGGATTCATAGTGATGAATGGGGGGGGGGGCATGACTATGTCAGCTTTTCCTGCAGAGGGGGATGTCTCCTTCCTCCTGGCCAAACTCACTTTTGTTAAATGGGGTTGGAGCCACTGCAGTCCAGTTCAAGGGGGAGAGGAACAGAAAAGTCTGTAATCTAGGTAACCCCCAAATGCCCAATCAATCCTATTTTTCTGCTCACTTACTGTGAAACCAAATTTTGCGCCTAGATTTGGCTACTGGGACTGAAATAAAAGCACCACAAGAGGGCAGCATTTACCCACCCTGGATCAGAGCTAAACCCTAAACCAGGACTCCACACTCTGCCTCTTGACAGGCTCCTTACAGGGAGGATTTTCATAACAGGGGTTCTGGCAAATGAGAGAAATACATCGGACCAGTCTCCCGTCTTCTAGCAGGGAGTCCTGAAGCAGCTTGCGTTGGGTGTTGAAAGGTGTTTCCTTTAAAAACAAAAATCCTTCTTGGGAAGAAAGATGCATCCCGATTCTATAATCACTGCTTTGGACTCCCTGATACATCAGCAAGCCTGCTACTGGAGGGGCAGGGGTGCATGAAGGAGGTGTCCGGCACACAGGAAGTGCACACAAGCACTTATTCAGGGATGGAAAAGCACTCACACGCAGAGCTTGGTCTGGAGAGGAAAGCGCCGATGAGTCCTTCCTTGAATGAGGTCGGACACTACAGTTCAGGGTCTGGGGAGCAGGGACATCTTAGCAAGTATCTCCAAAGGGCTCAAAGGGTTGAAAGAAAGCCCCTGGGGGGAAAGCTGCTAGAGGCCAGAACTGTGTATACAATGGGCCTCTGGAGCTCCAGGTTGGACAGGGTGGGGACGGGGGGGCGGAGGGGGTTGGGGTTGGGAAAGGGGGTAGCCCGCCAAGGGCTTGTGCTTGGTCTCCTTGCTGTGGAAGCCCCAGCCAGAGGACACAGGATTAAAGGAAGGCGGGGAGGTGGTAACTGGAAGCAGCCCAGCTCTGCACGCAGGGGAGATGGGACCCCAGAGGGAGGGGGGCTGCTGTGGAGGGTGGAGAAAAGCGAGGTCCAGTTTGCCTTTTGCCTTTAAGAATCTCGGAGACTGTCCCCTCCTGGGGACACCTCTTTGGCACTCTGTGAACTAAGGCCCTTCCAGAGAGGGCCAGGGTACTTTCTCTTTGGCAGCCCCCCAAACGGAGCAGCAAGAAATACCCATTGTGCCGTACAGAAAGGTGATGCTGTCTCTCTGGACGACAAAACATAACACAACAAAACAGAAGAACCCACTTGCAGAAGAAGGCTTCCCCTCCAACCTGGGTGGGGGGCCCGGGGCAGGCCCCTCTAGCAATTTCTTGGCTCTCTCCAGGCCTCTGATTTTGAGCACTTCTGGGTAGAGAGGGGCCCTCCCAGCCCATTCATCCTGACTGGGTGGGCGCAGCAGGTTGCCTGCTGTGGGGGGAAGCGGGGTGGGCGGGAGCGTACTGACCCTGATTCCCACTGAAGACTGCACTGCCCATTTTTGATAGGAGTCAAGGTTTGTTTATTCGTCAAAATTATTTCATCAGACTAGAAACTTGGGGGATCACTTTTAGAAGGCCAGAAGCATGAGGGCCAGGCCACCCTAGGTTTTGGTCCTGTGGAGGAAGCTGTGTCGCGTCTCATTATGGCTTTCCTCTCCGACCTACCCGATTTACCGGCCTTCTGTTATTTCCTTCCTAGAGTGGAAGGGCCAGCCCCGTTTGGGGCAATAAAAAAACAGCAGCGATATTCTTCCTTGATACTGTTTCCAGTCTCTCCACTTTAAAGGCTGATCTATGCATCCTTTTTTCGCTTCATAACATTACAAGGGGAACAGTGGACAAGTAACTTGCCCAAAGTCACCCGGGGATAAAGATGGGAAGATTCTTATTTCCCGCATACTCCCTGGGACATTACCTCCCCGTCTTGTGGGTGCGATGGTCCAGGGAGGGCCAAATCAGGTGATCCTGTCTGGGGTGGGGGGGTAGGGTTGGCGAGGAGGTGTGCTTAATCCACGAGATGGGTTAGTTTCCCAGGGAGGGCTCCGCTAACTAGTACCAGAATCTAAATGTGACCAATTCTGTGAGCCCCTTTTTGACGGAGCTTTCCCCCTTAATCATCACACTCACTTCTCCCCTGCCCTTTGTAACCAGGACAACGAGGGTGCCTCCAAGTGTTTCAGGGACATGAGCACAGATAGAAAATTATGGACGCGTGGAGAACCAGGGCACGGTTGTTGGCACTGAGAGTCTGCAGGCCACACGCTTGTCCAGGCAAGAGGACAGACGGAGACCCAGGCCTGTGCCACACATGCACACACGTGCGCACACACACACACACACACACACACACGACCAGGACATCATCATAAAAAGGGAGAAGGGGGGGATTCAGCAGCAGAGAGACTGGCTCAGAACCCCCTGACCGGTCCCTGCAGCCTCTCCGGGGGGACCCCAGAACAACGGCCACATTCCAGTGATGTCATGCACCGGTGATCTGCCCTTGTTGGGAAGAGAGAGAGGGGGAAACAGTTTTGTAAGAGCCACTGTGGATTATAAAGGCATTGCATTGCAGCAGGACAACTCAAGGAGGAAACCCAAGAGGGCCAAGGAAACCACCGAGGGGCGAGGACCCAGAAGAGGAAAAACCACAGCGACAGGACGAGAGGGAGAGCGGGAGCCACGCGGGGTCCCGGAGGGAAGGTTCAGCAGTGTCCACGCTTATAAAACTTGCAGCTGCCCCACCAGGGCACATGGGACGGCCCCCCTGCCATCCGTCCGGGCAAGAGGATCCAGTTAGGAGCTGAAAACCCTGTGGGAAGACAGCGGGGAGGGAGTTAGTGCCAGGGAGGCAAAACTGCACTGTTTCCTTAGGAGCCACAGAGAAGCCACAAAGCTCTGGGCACAGGGGCTTCACTGCCCGTTCCTTGGCAGGCTCCCTGCCTCGGACAGCACCTGACCCCTAGCTGGGGCTCGTCTTGAATGCATGGACGAACTAACGAAGGAATGAATGAGTGCTTGCTCACCAACACAACTGGCCAGGAAGAGGGACAATGAAAGGGGCTTCCTGATACGCCGAAGGAGTTGGAATCTTAAAGGCAATACAGTGAGCCTACTGGACACAAAACATGCTTTGTACGTATGGGGAAAAAATGAGGCTGCTTAAGAAATGGGGTGTCTTCCCTATGCTACCGAAAATGAGACAACCCAAGTCCTACCTAATTTAACATAAAGGGCACACAGCGGTGGTTTGGAGGCACTCTGTGGGGGGCCATGGGGTGAGTGGCATTACCATCGTGGTTGCGAGGTCCCGGCCTTAAGGTGAAGTTTAACTAGTGAGACTCAATCCAGTCTTGTGGTGCCTCACACTTTTCCCAGCAATTTCGAGAGGACCAGTGAGATTGTCAAAATAATACCAATTGGGATCTGCGTGGACGAGAACGCTCTGGGCAATCTGGGGGGTGTGGGAGGTGGTGTATAAAGGGAGGGAGAATACACCTTCCCGGAGGCTGGAGCCGTTATTCCACTAGGGGGCGCCCCAGGCAGACGTGGACATGCAAAACCAGGGTTCCCACACTTGGAGGGGCCTCAGAATCTCTGGAGGGCTCCTTAAAAACATAAACCTCGGTTCTCACTCCAGAGTTTCAGAGTCAGCAGGTCTGGGGTGGCCTGGGAATTTGCATTTGTAGCCCACTCTCCACTCTGGGAAAACCAGGGCAAACGAAGCCAGACATCCTCCAGCCATTAGGACTGGGAAAAGAGGGTTCTGCCCGCCCCTCGAGCCCCTGGGAAGGAGCCTGCTTACTCATCGGTGTCTTTTTTGCTCTCCTCAATGAAGGCAATGGATTCAGATCTAAGGCGGTTGGTCACTTCATACGTTCGCAGGGTGACCCCAAAAATATCCTCATGGTACCGGTTGTCATCCTGGGGGACAGAAACAGCCCTCAAATGCCAGCCAAAGGCAGGAGAGGGACAGACACGCTGACAACCTGGAATGGAATGTCGCTAAAAAAGATGGGTTCTAAACAAACAAGATGTAACCCAGTGCCCCCTGGAGGACCTCTGGCCTCCTAACCCAGGTGGCAAAGAACATTTCAGTTCACATCTGAACTGGCACACCCTGGAGAAAAGTTTTTATGCAGTGTTCAACCTGGACAACTGCACAGGACAGTGCTGCAGCTTGGTTCTGGGGGCAGGAAGAGTCGGTTTCGGAAGGTTTCTACCCAGCTACCCAGTGATCCACCCGCTTGTTACTTTCACACACCACAGCCCCCACCCATATTTAATACACGCACCTGCACACCCAACACCCAGTCCTCCACCTTCTCTCTCAACTACGGTTTGGGACCACGGGTATCCTCTACCCTGAACCATAAGTGGGAAAATGGGAGCAGGCGGGGATGTCATCATGGCCCCTCTAATCACTGAGACAGGTGGGGTGAGGAAGAGGAGACAGGAACCGGTTGCTGACAAAGGGATCCAAGAAGCCAGCCTGTCACTCACCCTCAGCCTGCTGATGAACACGCCTGCATCCTCCACTGAGAGTTTCCCCTGCTGGGTCATGATGCGCTGGATGGCTTTGAGGACATCGGCGGCCATGGTGACATCCCCACAGACATAGATGTGGCCCCCTTGCTCCTTCAGGGCTTGGTACACCGGTTCTGCCAAATGCTCTTGCAGGATGTCCTGCACGTACTTCTGCAGGGAGCAGGAAGACCCGTGAGAAGGAGCTGGGTCCTGGGCAGAACCTGATACAGGTGACCCAGGGGAGCGGGAGGAGTGAGTAAGAGAAGGAAAGCTGATCCGAGGGTGTGTGAATGAGCTGCGCCCCGTGTTGGAGCTCAGCTGTGCTGAGGACCCTCTAGAAGGTCATGCAGAACACACCCCAGAGCCATAACCCGGGGGAGCACAGGGTGGGTTACGATCTACCTGCTCCCTGGCCAATGGCCAGTGGTCCCCCCTGGGGTGTTAACACCTGTTAACTAGGTGCAGGGTACATCCTATGCTGGGGTGCCAGAGAAGCCCCAGGGCAGACAGCAAGAGATCGAGAGGCGAGGGGCTGTCAGCTCACCCCTGCACAAAACCAGCTGCTGCAGGAAGAGCTGGAGTAGAAAGTGGGCTAAGAGAAAGTGGGGTGGCAACAGGGGTGTCCACCATAGCCTCCAGGGCATTTGCCTTATTTGTTCGGGATGTCTTCCACTTGTCTAGGAAACTGCCCCCAGGGTGAGGTGGACACGAAGCTGCTATGTCCTGGCACGGCTGTCCTGCTTGTAAAAACACTGGTGTACTTCCATCCCAGCTGTCAGACGGCCACTGCCCACCCTCCGAGTGCCCACCCCACCCCAGCTGTCCTGGCCCCTTTCCTGAGACCCCCTGGATCTCCCCAAGATCCAGGAGGAGCACGCTCCAGTCGTGTGGCCTGTGTCCATTCTGACTGGTAGCACCTCTTGTGGACTGTTACATGTTTTTTTTTCAATTCATATTTTAAAAATATTTTTATTTTGGTAAAATATGTAAAACATATCATTTACCATTTAACCATTTTAAAGTGAACAATTCAGTGGTATCTCGTGCACCACTGTCTTGTGCAACCATCACTCTATCTGGTTCTAGAACTTATTCATCACCCCAAAAGGAAATTCTGTACCCACGAGCAGTCACTCCCCATTCCCCTGCCCCAGAGCCCCTGGTAACCCCAGATCTGCTCTCTGTCTCTGCGGATTTGGCTGTTCTGGATATTTCACGTAAGTGGCATCCTACAATATGGGCTGTTAAATATTTTAAACCGATATTTTTTTGCTCCTGCTTCCTGAAGTACAGAGCAACGTCCTGGAGGAGAATTCAGAATAGGTGAGGGGGTGACTGGGGGTGGGATGTGCATGAGTGTAAAAACATGTGTGTGTGTGTGTGTGTGTGTGTGTGTATCTAGGGCTGGGGTGTGGGCACTGTGCACGGGCCGGGGGTTACCTTTGGTTTGTCCGGCTCCCGGGAGTAGGCCGTGTACAGTTCTCTGAAGACCCCCTTGTTCTTGGCTTGTAGAGTCTCCTCCCTGTAGATGTGGTCTATCTTGGATTGCCGGCACCCGAACACCAGGACCATGGGGCAGGGGCTCATTCCTGGGGACCAGGAAGATCTCACGTCACTCACGGCTCTGATGCCCGATTTGGGGGGGGTGGCTGGTGGTGCCAGGGGAGGGGTTACTGGGAACCTTCGGGCACGCCACATGGATAGAGGCACATGAGCACTGGGACAGGTGGGGTGTATGTACTTGCTTACAAGTACACCCATGTATACACATGCACGCACCTGCGCACACTGAGGGAAGTAGGTAAAGTGTGTTCAGATTTTAGCACACCTCCTTTCTCTAGGTCTCAACCCTTCCTTCTGCCCCCCTGGCTACTTAGCATCCCCTGCTACTGGGTCATGCCGAAAGGCCAGTCTGTGGAGCCGCACTACCCGGGTTCAAAACCCAGCTCTGTGCAATGATGAGCAACTTAACTTTCTATGTGCCCATTTCTGCAGGTACAAAATGGAAGTAATAATAGCATCTACCTCCTAGGGTTACTCTGAGATGTAAAACATTCGAGCCCAGTGAATATACAGCGAATCCTTCATCAATGTTAGCTATTCCACCAGAATGACCAGTCCATGGGGGTGGCTTTTTTTTTTTTTTTAAGCTGTTTCTCTGTCTTATTCAATGCTGTCCCTTGGCACCTACAACAGTGCTTGGCATTTATTAGATGCTCAACAAATCCCTGGTTACTGCATGCCACAACTGTGGGTTTCTTTGTCTCTCCTCCTGGAGCTGATCTGTTGGGTCTCTCACACAGCAAAGCCTGCTCTTGAATAACTGCCTTTGGGACAATCCCACAAATGTACAAACATTTGATAAGGCTTAAATATTTACTCTCCTAGGGCTGTTTCAAGTTTCAGATGAGTCCTAGCGTAACACAGAAATATCTTCTGGGATGGAATTTCAGGCCCTAGAACAAGCTGTGTGGGAGATTGGTCGGGACAGGTCCTTTGAGGTATAACCATGAACCTCACCTATGGGTCAGGTCAGTACTATGATCCCCCCACCCCCCGCCCTCCCCCAGGGAGTGATGCAGTGGAGAGAGAACTTTGTCATTCCTCTGGGTGGCTGAGCCACCGGGAGGGAACTCCTCCCGGGAGAACTCCTCCAGCACCTCCACCTGCTCAGGTCCAGACGGGGTGGACATCACCTGGCTGCTGAATTGTGACCCACCTTTGTGTTGGATATCAAATTGCCGCTGCTGCCAGAAACTTCGGAAAGGGGCAATGCCAGTGCCTGGGCCAATGAGGATGCAGGGCACTTGGGGGTTTCGGGGCAGGCGGAAGCTGGGTGCTCTGGACAAGAGAGAGAGAATCAGAAGGCTTGCTGCGCTCAAATCTGATCAAGGGTGGCTGGGCCTTGGGTAGACCAGATGGCCGTTTTGGTGATACAGTGGGATTCCACTCTCTAGCTGGGGTCAGGTGCCCCTTATCGGAGTGGGAGGTCCCACAGCTTTGGGGAGTTCCCCAAACAGGAGCTCCTCAGTGTCTGGCTACCACTCCAATTCCCAATTTTCCTCATTGCTGAGCTAAGCCACCAAGGGCATTGTTTTAACTCAGGCTTTCCAGATCTCAGCACTGCTGACAGTTGGGGCTGCATACTTCTCTGCTATGGGGGGTGTCCTGTGCATTGTAGGATATTGGGCGGCACCCCTGGTCTCTACCTCCTAGATGCCAGGAGCACCCTCCAGCTGTGACAAACAAAAATCTCCGCAGCCTTTGCCACAGGTGCCCTGAGGGGGAAAATCAGCCCCGTGCTGAGAACCACTGATGTAGGCACTGGCGAGATCTCCTAAAATCAGGGAACAGACTTCTGTGTACAGAAGAATCACCCCGTGGCGTTAACAGTGCAGAGTCTTGGGCAGTGCAGCAAATCTGGCTCAGGATACGGTATTTTTGAAGCACCACCGGGGATTCTGATGGTCATGGTATATGGACCATCCTCTGAGCACTCCACTCTCAAGAGCTGAGAAAAATCACTGGTCAAGACCACTGTTCAGGTACAGAAGTCACTGGCTGACAAAGCAGGAACCTTACCAGCTCAGGTATGGCCCTCATTGTGAAAAATGTTTAAGTTGTAGTTTTTATCTGACGGTGGTAAGAACACTTCAATGAAATCCACCCTCTTCACAAAATTTTTAAGTGCACGATACAGTACTGTTCATCGTAGGTAGGAACGTCCTTTAAAACTGAGTTTGGGGGGCGCCTGGGTGGCTCAGTTGGTTAAATGTCTGCCTTCGGCTCAGGTTATGATCTTGGGGTCCTGGAATTGAGCCCCGCATTGGGCTCCCTGCTCAGCGGGGAGTCTGCTTCTCCCTCTTCCCTCTGCCACCCTCTACCCTGCTTGTGTTTGCTCTCTCTCTGTCTCAAATAAATAAAATCTTTTAAATTTATTTGAGACAGAGAGAGAGAGAGAGAGAGAGAGAGGGAGGGAGCACAAGAAGGCACAGTAGCAGGCAGAGGGAGAGGGAGAAGCAGGTTCCCAGGCAGGGAGCCCGATGTGGGGCTCGATCCCAGGACCCCGGGATCATGTCCTGAGCCGAAGGCAGATGCTTAGCCGACTGAGTCACCCAGGTGCCCCAATAAATAAAAATCTTAAAAAAAAAAACACAGCTGAGTTCGAGAGAAACAGCTCTGACTGATGGGAGGAAGGTTTGGATCTTCCCCATCTCCGAAATAGTGGGAACAGAGGGTGGTTGGTAGATAGTGGAGAGAATTTCCACCAGTCTGCAGATTTCAGGAAAGCTGAGACTGCATTTGCCGGGTTGTCTACTGTAGCCCCAGCATCTAGCACAGTACATGCACTTGATAAATATTCATTGCATTGACCTGACTTTGACTGGGGCGGCGGGGGGGGTGGGGAGGTGAGGAGCTTGCTTAGCTGCTGCTGTGTTGCCCGTCCCAAGATCCCATTTACTTAACAGCTTGGAGTGATACTGAGTGTTGATCTCGATTCTGTCTGACTCAGCCATTTCTCCAGAACCCTTGAGGCTGGTCCACCCAGCCCAGCTCAGGACATGAGTATGCAGATTTGGGACAGCTGCTCATTTCTCTTCCTTTGCCACTCACCCTCTCACGAAACATGGGACCACTTCGTCAGCCTGTATCCGGTTGAGCCAGGAGGAGCACACACCGTGGTGAATTGGTCCTTCTCCATCTGGCAGAATAAGCGAAGTGGTCTGGTGCGCCTGCTGCCCCCAGGGTTCCCCGTCACTGGCCTCCCCCTCCCTCCAGTGCAGAAGCTCACAACCCCACGCCAAGTTTCTGCCTTGGAATTCCCTGTCTGGATCCTCTGAAGGGGAAGAGGGTATGGTATAGTGAAACTGCCCAGGGTTGCCGTGGGTAAGGGTGGGTCGGATTCGCAAAGGTCTCAGTCAATGTGCTCCTGGTGGCCTTCCAGGATCCCGGTCTTGGAGCTCTCTCAGGCACCATGCATTTTAATTGCTTTATCAAGGAGGGAAATTATGGGAGACAAACGCTAGGATATCTGACTGACCTACAACCAGGAGACTTCATGCAGCAGAGACCTCCCCCCTCTGAGGGATGGGTGGGGGTGGCTTGATCCAGTTGCTGCCTTGGTGGGGGAGGGGTGAGATGATGAAGGCAGTAAAAGCACTCTCAGGCTTTGGGAGCAGAGGAAGCTTTCAAGAGCACATCTTCCCTCCTTCCTGACTCTGCACAGGGTTGGCTCTGCCTAAGGGGACAGTCTGCCTGCCCTGCTTCTTCCCCCAGTTCCTGGCCTTGGGGTGGGTCTCCTCTTGGGGATTTGGGATTTGGCAGCCCTGCAGAGGCCCCTGGGGAACAAATGCAGACCCAGGGGGCTCTCCCGGGGCCTCTGCAAATGCAGACCGAGGGGGCTCTCCCGGGGCCTCTGCCTACCTCGGGTGCGGTAGGAGACAATGGCCACGGTGAGGTGCACCTCGTCGGGGTACATGTCTGGGGAGGAGCTGATGGAGTAGTAGCGGGGCTGCAGCAGGGACAGCTGTGTCAGGAGCAGGGTGGCAGGCATCTGGATGGACGGGAACTCCTCCAGCACCTCCACGATGGTGGGGTTCTTGCCCCACTTCCATTCCTCATACTCCTGCAAACCCTGTGCCAAGGAGAGGGATGCAGAACTTGCACCCTGCTCCGGGTACACATTTCCAGGGAGGGCATCAGAACATCTGGGGAAGGAGGTCAGGAGTGATAAGGATACCTAACACTCACACAGTAATTACTCCGCACCAGGTCTTAATTCTTACGATGACCTTATGAAATACATATGACTGTTGTCCCTGTTTTATAGCGGGGGAAATTGACAAACACAGAAGCTCTTTGGCTTGGAGGCAGTGATTCTGGGTTTTGAGTCTAGGTCAGTGGGTGGCAAGCTTCAGCCCAAAAGGTCAATGTGGCTTACTACGCGTCTGTAGGGCTCATGAGCCAAGAGCTGTTTTTACACGTTTAAATTGTCGGGGTAAAGGATCAAAAGAAGGATACTATTTCATGACACGAGAATGTGATATGAAATTCGAATTTCTGTCCCATAAATAAGATATGACTGGAACCTGGCCATGCTGACTCACTTAGGTACTGTCTATGCTGTTGGGTTATAATGGTGTAGTTTAATGGTTGTGAGACAGACCTCATGGACCGTGAGCCTAAAATATTTACTACCAGACTCTTCATGGAAAAAAGCTGCTGACCCCTGCTCTAGGCAGTGTGGCCCCAGCATTTGTGCTCCTAACAATATAGGTCCTCACATGCAAAGGTCGGGAGAAAAGCACTGTGGAGAGTGTCATGATTTGCTGGTATGGAATGCAGACCTGTGACCTGTGAGTTTGCAGGGCTGGAGATGCATCAGCAGGGAGCATAGGTCAAGTTCAAGACGGTGAATGACAGCCCCAAAGGAACAGGTTAGGGTGTGGAGGACCGCTTGCAGGGGCTTGTGGACAGCAAAGCCCAGCTGCTACCAGGAAACAGAGGAACTCTCTGGGGCTCTGGAATTAGGTTTTCCTACATCTCAGAAGCTGCTCTGGGCAGTCCCTGATTGCTTATAGAAGGCTCAGATTTTGAGGAGTAAAGCCTATTGTAAGTGTACCTTATAACCAAGCTTTCCTCCACATCCCTAAAGATCATCCTTGCTTTATTGATAGGGTATGGCATCCTTGAGAACGTGCCTCCCAGACCTCCAGCCTCACTGACCTTGAGCTGCAGGGGTGCAATCTGCCAAGAGCCTCAGGAACTGCTCTCTGAAATGGACATCCACGGGAAACAGACATGGATCACCCGTTTTGGTCCTTCCTAAGGCTGCGGCTGCAGTTCCAGATGCTTCCATTCACAGTTCCTTCCCTCTCTGTCACTTGGAGTCAGACTTGTTGGAGGTCTGATGGTCCTCCCAGCCTTATCGGACTCTTGCCCATTTTCCCCCTCACACAGGTGTTTCCCTTAATAAAAATCCTCGCTTATTTAATCCCACCTTGGAGTTTGTGCTCTTCAGAAGAAACAGGCTAATACGTACAGTTTATCAAATTCTACTTGAAATCATCCCATGCAAACAGTGCAATCTCTGATCCCTCTTAAAGCAGCCCCTCCCCCATTAATTAAAATTTTAAAGTTATACATGTACATCGTGTACAAAGTTAAACAATTCTGCGAAGTTTACGAAGAAAATTAATGCTCTACTTCTCCAATCTGTTTCCAACTCCCCAGAGTGAACCACTTACAACTCTCTAAGTGTTCCTTTTCATGTCTGTTTTCTCATTTCTAAATATAGCCGACCCTCTAACAACATGGGTTTGAACTGCGCAAGTCCACTTATATGCAGATTTTTTCGATAAATGTAATAGAGGACTGTGAATGAATTTTCTCTTCCTTATGATTTTTTCTCTAGCTTACTTTATGGTAAGAATACAGTATATAATACATAAAACATACAAAATATGTGTTAATCAACTGTTTATGTTATCGGTAAGGCTTCTAAATTAGTGGTTAAGTTTTGGGGGAGTCAAAAGTTAGATGTGGATCTTCTACCACACAGGGGGTCAGCATCCCAATCCCCGCGTTGTTCAAGGGCCAGCTGTAACATACATTCTTTGAATTAGCCTTTTCCTGTCGGCCCATCATATGTGCCTCTCCTGGACGGCAGAAGAAAGCTAAGCCATCCTTTTCTGATGGCTTGGTCAGTGGGGAGGAGCCCCCACTGGGAGAAGTCTGGGTAGTCCTCCTGGGTAGGATTCTTACTGAGTAAGATTTTGCAGTAGCTTGGGGCAAGCAAGTCCTAGGTTTCAAAGCAAGGGTGGTAGAAATGTTTGATGCATTTTACCATCATAGGGCCTCCTCTGTCTTGCAAGTCCTACCAATAGCTCCTCGGTGTTGGGAAAGGCCTCTCTCTCAAACAGGGTACTGTGGGATTCTTCTCTCTTTCTTTTCCTTCTAAGCATGGGCTCAGATGGAGCTAATGGAAACTCAAGAGTTCCAAAGGAAGGAGGAACAAGAGTTAGAACAGTAATTTCTACTGGGCCAGAGAGCTCTGAGATTCAACAGGGCTACCCTCGTTCTGTCAGACCTTAGTTAGAACGAGCGGGGATGGTGAGGACAAGCCAAAATGGACTAGCCAATATGGCGACCATCTGCAAACTGAAAATCGGCAGCTCTTGCTCCACACTGCCATCTGCTGGACGACTGTTGTAATAGCTACATAACTCTCCACCGACTCAGAGGTGAAAGGTACCCTTGGGGTTGTAGGGGGCCAGGGACCCACCTTGCTGAGGACCAGCAGACGCTGCTTCTCTTTCTCGCTGGTGGCCAGGGAGGCAAACTGCTGCAGCTGCAATGGCGTTGGCGGCGTGGTGATGTCCAGGTAGTACTTGAAGGCCTGGAAGATGGTGCAGGGCGGGAGGCGGTGCTCATCTGTCCAGTTACTGATGACTCCTATGGAGGTACAATGGAGGTGAGGGGTGGATGGAGGAAGGAGAGTCTGAGCTCCAAGGGCTTGGGTCTAAGTCAGGAAGGCCAGATTTTCTCCTGGGGCAGAGGTTGGGGCCAGGTGAGCCAAGCAATCCCTTGGCTTGTCACCTTCCATGTCCCACATCTAGACCCAGGGTTCTGAGGACCCTGTGATCGCCTCATGCATGCAAGGAGCATATCCAAAATCAACTGAGCAAATTAGTTCAAAAATTAAAAAATAAACCAATATGAAAATAGCATGAGACAGTCCGTCCTCTGGCATTCTACGCAGTGAGCCCCCCACCGAGCACGAGCTAGGAATCTTATTTTGGTTCTGTCTGACCTCTCATGGTGTTGGCCTCTCAAACCTCTAAGTGGGATTCCAGTGTTTAAAATGACAAACATGCCTAACACTTTGCTAGCACTTTCTATATGCCAAGTGCTATTCTCAGCACTTTATATTATTAACTCACTTAGTCCTCACAACAACCCTAGGTGGTGGGTGCTATTATTATCCCCATTTTGCAACTGAGAAAAAGGGAAGCACAGAGAGGTCAAGGAATTTGCCCAAGGTCACACAGCTCATAGGCATCAAGTCAGGCAGTCCTGCCCCAGACCTTGTTCTAACTACTACACTGTACGGTTTCTGTGTAATTTTCCATGGCATATAGCCCCAAGCATAGCGTCTACTTTATCAGGGGCTCAACCCAAGATAAAAAGTGCTGTTCCAACACGAAGAAGAACCGGCTGGGTCGGATTTATTAATATAAAGTGTTGTCTCTCCAAAGTGGTATCGCCCAAAGGACTTTTCAGTCGGGCTTTGACCATATGCTATTTTCACACTCTGCTCTGACCATACACTCTAGCTCCTTTGTAAAGGGGCTATGTTATATTCTGGGCTGTCAGGTAAGGTCACCATGGTTCCTGGTTCCTGAGCCTGCGCTCACCTGTGCCTCCTGAAATGAAGCCCTGAGACCCATTTGCCTTTGAAAGTTCTTCAACAGAAAGGTCAAGGATGGTCACTGAAACAGACCAGAACCTGATCTAATTCATGATGGTTCAACCTTGAGTGCGCCATATAGTGCCTCTTGACTTTAAAGAGGAGGGAGGGGTACACATCAGCTGCTGTTTATTCAGTGGGCAGTGAGGCGGGGGTGATGAAGGAAGGCAGAAGCCCCTTCCCCCAAGGACGAGCTATGGATGTCCTGGCATCATGGACATTGGCTCAGCCAGTTGGGCCATGGTGGTTCAGCCGTGAGAAAGGAGGAGTCTTCAGTCTCATAAGCGGGAGGAGACAGAGACCCACTCTTCCGCCTGGATTGGTGATTGGGAAGAAGGATGGGTCCCCTCTTCCCCAGACACCCACTGCTTCTGGGACTCCCCGGAGCAGGGGAGGGTTCTCAGGAGGGGCCAGGTGAAGGGCCCCCCGCCCTGCCGTAGTTACCCAAAGCCGTGTTTCGCTCCTCCAGCAGCTCCACCTTCACCAGCTGGTTGACCGGGGGTGCGTCCTCCAGCCGCTCCATCAGGGCGTCCACGAGGTCCTCGCGGTTGCCAGGGAAGACACCCAGGTGGTCCCCAGGCTGGTACTGCAGCTCCTGATTCCCGTTGGTGTGCAGACGCACGAAGATGGTTGATCGGCTGGAGGGAAAGGCAGGGAACAGTCAGAGAAGTCACCAGCTACTGCCTCCTTTCTTTGTCTCTTTTTGTGGCTGCATTCCCCCTCCGTTCATTCTCCGTGGGGCTGAGGCCAATGAGCCCTGTGCCCCCATCGTTCCAACCATGGTTTTCAGCAGGTCACCCACGAGCTCCTTAGTGCAAATCCATTGCCAAGTCCCGAGTGCTCATCTTGCTCATGGAACCAGCACATGGAACCAGCTCATTTCCTCCTTCTCAACTCCCTTCTCCTGGGTTCTAGCACCCCATGCCCTCCCAATCTTCTCTCATTTGGCAGTTTCTTCTCCTCTCCCCAAACTCTGGCCATTAGAGCACCTCAGGGTTCAGTCCTCAGATTCTTTGCTTTTTTATCTTCCCAACCTACCTCTCTCCATAGCACTTACTGGTGTCTGCCTTCTTGTGGAGTTTATATCATCCTGTGGTTTGTGGTCTGCCCTCCCCCGCCTACCGCCCCTCCGCACCCCCAGCCTCCAGGACAATTTCAAATTCCAGAGGGCAAGGAATCTGTTTTGTCCACTGCTCTATTCCTGGCAAGGAGGACAGTGCACAGCACATAGTTGGTACTCAAGAAATATCAGATGAAGGAACCTCAGACTCTCAGGGTTAACCAGTTGCCAGAACAGACTCTGTTCTCAGTACCAACTGGGGTTCTCCCAGGAATCACGACCCCAAGCAGTGGAGTCCCCAGTCTGTGTCACGCCATCTCTCCTGGGAATCCTAAGCTCTTCCCCCCCCCTTTTGTAAGTGTGGTTGCACGGGGGGCTCCTCATATTATAAAGGGAAAGGCATTTGGTCTTGGTTGTGCACAAATCCACCAGTATAAATGTGAGAGATCCAAGGAGAAAACACACGGAGAAATTGATTTATGTTCTGCCAGATCCTCCCCTTTTCCACTGGTTTTTGTATTTTAAGGGCAGGAGGCCCATGCTAAAGGAGGGCTTCAAGAATGAATTTTCAGACTACGATCATTCTGGTCCTTTAAAAGGTTTTAGTACAGACCTACTGCATTTTACACAATACCTGAGAACTTGGGGGCTGATTACACTTTGGTAAGTCAGATTCTTTGTCCTCTTTGGGTTCCGTAGGCATTTCAGATCTGCTTTTCTTCATTGCCAACTGGTTCTTATTCAACATGAAGTTTCTACATTCTCCATGGTATGTAAATCAACACTTGAATAGATCAATGGGACTCGCTATATAAAGGAGTCTCTGGCACACCCAAGAACCCTTTTGTGCTGCAAATAGCCACCGTTATTAGAAATAGTTGTGCTGGCACATTTACTTTTTTGCAAGTATTTTCTCAAAGCAAGGCACCCCTGTCCTTCGTATGGTGGGGAAAATTGGTGGCTGAGATTGTGAATGGTGGTGTCAGGGCCTGGGATCCCATTCTCCTTTCCTGGACAGATTTTGCTATCTCTGGGGCACTAATCTTGTCAATTATACAGACTTGCACGGCTGATTCGGCCCTGAGCTCATTCGGATTCCTGGTTCCTGGAGAGCAGAGACACCATCACCTCCTGCCAGCTCCAGGGTTAGAATTAGCAGAGGCTGACAGCCAGCAGGGGGCGCTGTGGGGCTGCTAATTTCGGAGCCTCCTGCACCAACCACAGGAAGCCTTTGAAAGGCCCCCAAATCAATTCCCACTTTCTCCCAGATCATCATGATTTCTTTCAGAAGTATATTTGCCTCCGTTCTGGCCGGTACAAAATAGAAATGCGGAGGACCCGAACTTGCTGAGCTGGCTCATGCTCACAGCCATTTCCCCCAAGTAAGTCCTCTTGAACGTGACACAAGGTGGTCAGGCAGACAAAGGGCAGGAATGGGGAGGCAGCTGACAGATTAGCTAGGTGGCCCAGGCTCTGCCAGGGCTGGGAATTTAACCAAGGGGATGTTTCATGCCTCTGGTCAGACGTGGCTTGCTGAGACCCCCAGGCTGAATGGCTGCGTGGCCTCAGGGCATCCTGATGGGCTGGTCTTTGAAGCCTTGTTGGGGAAGCAGATTCCCCCCCAACTCTCTCTGTCTCTCTCTCTCTCTCTCTCTCTCTCTCTCTCTCTCTCGGTAGCGCTAACCTGGAGACCAGTTGTCTCAGTTCTGCTGGGGGTTTGTAAGTATAGGATTTTGTAAGTTTTTTTTTTTTTTTTTTAAAGCTTGGGACACATATGGCCATTGAGAAGTATGGGGGGAGGGGAGAAAGGGCAGAAAGGGCAGTGTGGGAAGGTAGTGGTCATTTGGGGGCTCTCCATCCCCTCCTCCAGACTCCAGAAGCACAACACACACACACACACACACACACACACACGCACGTATGCTTGGCAGTGGTTCAATGACAGGTTCACTGATGAAACAACAGTCTGTTAACGTCCAGCATTAAATGGAAAAAAAAATAGCTAATGTTCATTCTTTAAGGAAAAGAATAAACATTGTAAGTTTCATTCATTCAGCAAATTTGTGTTGAGTGTCAGGCACTGCTTTAGGCACTGTGAGACAGTGATGGGCCTGGGGTCCCATTCTCATTGAGAAGCAACTTAAAAAGGTCCCAGAGGGAAGGGTGGGTGGTGATGGGTTGGGGGCAGTGGGCTGAGTGATCATCAGGTAGGATGATCAGGGAGGCCTCTGTGGTGACGTGATATTTGAACAGAGATCTGAACAATGAGAAAAAGGGGACATGCAAAGATCTATTTGGGAAGAGTGTTCGCATGTGCAAAGGCCCTGGGGTAGGAAAAGGTGTGGGATATTTGGAGAAGGGAAAGAAGGCTGGAGTGTTTGGAGAGTGGTCAACACAGATGTGGGGGGTGGGAGAAGGAGATTAGACTGCTGGGCAGAGGCTATATCATGAGGGCTTCATCATGACCTGTCATGGCAAGAAGTTTGGAGGTCTCCTCAATCCAGTGGGAAGCCACTAGAAGGTGTAAAGCTATGGAGTGATACGATTCAATTTACATATTTCCAAGATTGGTCTGGCTGCTATTTGGAAATGGATCTTTGAGAGAAAAGCCAAGAAACAAGGAGACAAGTTAGGGTCTACTGTAGCCACTCATACCATCGATGAACATGGCTTTGCTCAAGGTGGCTGCTGTAGGTCTGAGATGAAGTTGAAAGTCAAGTCCCGGAGGACCAGCTGAGGGCCAGACATGCAGTGTGAGAGGGGGAGAGGAGGCAAGGAAGATGCTGCAGTTTTTGGCTTAAGCCAAATGTTGATGTTCTCTGTTGAAATGGGGAAGGCCGGAGAGAAGAGAAGCAATTTCATCCAAGGAGAGATGAGAATCAAGAGGTCCCCCACCAAGAACTGTCTATTGTAATATCCCACCACTCTCCGTGATGCCCCAGCACTCAGCACCCCCTTCTGCACCTTTGTTCCTGCTAGCCTCTGCTAGATGTCGCTCCTCTGTTCTCATTCCCTTTCTAAAGCCTACCATGCGCTTCCCCTCCTTTGGACCTGTAGGACTTATGATCAATTGATCACCGCACCTGTTACAGCTCCATTAGACTCCCTTCTGTATTGTTTGCTAATTGGTGTACCTAGAAAATGTATTTCCTGGCCAGACAGTAACTGTGGTCACTTTTCTCTTTAGATGTGCAAGGATCACCGTCAGAAGGCTGTTTACTTCCTCCTAAGCACTTTGCTTGCAATTAAGGGTCTGGGAGGCGGGGAATAATTTGTGATAACTCGCTTATGGCTTCCTGGCCCAAACAGCCTGACTTTGGGCTGACTTGGGCAGGGAAAAATGGGAGAGAGTATCATGCTTTTTTTACTTGATCATCCCTTAAAACAAACCAACAACTTATAAAGCTGGAGATGGTAGTAAGCCTGAAAATAGGTCATGCTCCAGAGTGTGCTTCCAAAGAGAGAGATACCTACATACAATTTGATCCTTTTTGTGCTAATTCACGACTGATTCTAATACTAGCTTCTAGTTCCTAACCTTGCTGAAATATTCAGTCTCTTGTAAGTCACTCAGCATAGAGTCAGCTACCCTTTCCAGAGGTGAGTGGGGGTTATTCTGGGACTTTGGTCCAACTTAGCATCAGAACATTTGCAAAGGACCTTGCTTTTTATGTACCATGGTTTAGGGAGTAATTTTTGTGATTTGGTCTTTCACAGTTTGTTGCTAAAGGAAATTTCCAATGGATTCGTAGTCTCTTCTCTTCCATGCTACTGAAGTCATCCCTTTCCACAGGGCAGAAATGGGAAGTAAGGGTGCATATTTCAAACACAAGGTCCCTCTCTGTATCAGAGATCCCTATTCTCTGAACGCTGCGTTTAACTAATTATTCAAAGGGATTCATTTCCCAACCCATTTCTTTAATGTTTGAGGATCTAAGTGAGTACATGAGAGCTTGGGGGCTTCATCCTGCTGAAAACTCCATTAGAGGTCTGAAGTCCATGCAGAAAGCATGCATACTAAATTTGCAGGTGTTTGAAGCTGGGATGGATAAGGAAGAGTAATGGGAAGTTATGATACGCTAGTTGTTTTGTGCACCTCGTCTTTGATACAGCAGCCTTGCAATACTCTTGAGGACACCTGGGTAGCCTTTCAGCATGCTCACTTTGGAGTTGGAGAACCAAGTCTATGTGACCTTGAAAAAGTCACTTGCATTATCTACTTGTCACTTTTCATATTTAGAACATCGATGATGGGGCGCCTGGGTGGCTCAGTCAGTTGAGCGTCCGACTCTTGATTTCAGCTCAGGTCATGGTTGTGGGATCAAGCCCCGCGTCCGGCTCCACACTCAGTGGGGAGTGTGCTTGAGATTCTCTCTCTCCCTCTCCTTCTGTCCCTCCCTGCCTAAAATAAATAAATAAATCTTTAGAAAAATTTTTAAAAAATGCCGATGATAATAGTCCCAACTTCCTGGGCTGGTCAAGAGTTCTGGGAGATCCCGCACACAGAGGACTCAAAACGGGGCTTGGCACACAGAAAGCTCTAGAGAAATGTCAGCAATCTGTAGAGACACTGTTCTCATTCTGCACAAGGAGACAGGGGCTTGGAGGACCTGAGTGACTGGCCCACGGTCACATGGCTAGTGTGCAGCAGAGCTGGGGTCAGAACCCAGGGCTGTCCAGCTCATGAGCCCACTCTGTACTAAAGAATCAAGATTTCAAAAGATCGGCATGGGCTGTAACTGGAAAGTGAAAAAAGATGCCATTCCTTAGGGATCAAGGCAAAGGACTTCATTAAGGCCAAAAATCTTATTTACACAAGTTGAGGGCTGGGCAGTCCTGGCTCACTCACTTTGAAAAGAGCAGCAAGGATGTAAGCTTAACGGGAGAGCAGCATGGCCCCCTGGACAAAGCCCGTGATCCTGGGCGGCATCCGTGTGTCCTGCTCACATTGGGGGCGGGCTGTAATGGCTCTAGTGCATGTGGCAGCCATGACAGGTCCTCCCCTGTGCTGTGACCGGGCCTGGGAATGACACTGCCGGCAGGACATTGTGTCCTTTTACTAAAACGAAAGGCGTGGGAAACTGGGTCTGAAGAAGCACGAACTGAAGGAACCAAAACCCAGGAGAGGTTGGTCAATGTCCTTGGCTCTTAGCAGGTCTCTCATTTGGAAGAACGGAGTTTGTTTTGGGTATGACCAGAGTATAACTGAGATCACTATAGAGTGCTAGGAAGATGACCTTTGGTTATAGCAATAGTAAGATAATTTCTAACAGTTAGGACTTTGAAACACAGAGTGGGCTGTTTGGTGAGGTAATGAACCTCCCGTCATCCCAAAGGAATTTAAGCAGCGTCTGGGTAGCCCGTTTTCGGGACTCTAGGGAAGAATCACCCACAAGGAGGAAATGTTCTCTGACTAGGATGCTCCGGTACAATGAACATGAGCAGTTTGACAAGGGTGTGGTCTATATTAAAAATTCCTCATAAAACCTTTCCCTTTCGGCTTTCCACGATGATCATCAGCATCTCCTCTCTTGGTCCCTCTAGGTGGGAGCTTGGCAAAGGGAGAGCAGGAAAACGTCGATGCTACAGAGCAACAAGGGCACCTCAGTGGCACTTGGGATGGTCTTGGGAAGCCAGTCCCCCCGAGTCAACCAGGGCTCCTCCCTGATGGTGGGGGGGTGCATCTGGAGCACAGGTGGGGAACCCCGAGCCAACCAAGGTGCTCCTACCTGGATTTAGGGCTCTGAAGGTTTTGACGGCTGAGGAGTCGAGCGGCTGACACCCGCTTTTTGTGGACATTGGAGAGACCTGCGGGGAGAACAACAGTCTCCCTGAGATGCGGTTAAGGCACGGCCAACCCAGAGCCTCCAGCTTCTCCTGACTGTCTCCTCATGCTCCCACTGTCCTCTGGGGGTGAAGCGAAGAGATGAAAGAGAAGACATTGGGGGGGTGGGGGTGGGCTGTGGATAATGCAGACGCAGAAGCAAATCTGGCTGAGCTGAGCTGAGAAGAAGGTTTGGGGGTAACGCGCCGCCCTGCTGGACGCACATGTGTTTTCGGAGCACGGTGCTGAAGGGAGACAGAAGCCCTGACACCCAGCTCCTCGTGGCACCTTTCCCCTCCCCCCGCCGTCCTGCAGCGCCCCCCCCGCCCCCCCCCAGGAGGGTGGGGGGGTACCTTGCGTAAGCTCTGGAGCTTCGGCCACGTAGGTGAGACGGAACTTGTTCCTTTTCCAGCTGCGGTCATTGCTGATGAGGGAGTTGTTGGCCTTCTCGATGTTGACGTCATCTCCCACGCAGAACACATCGCAGGCTGCCTGTGGCGCACACAGGGCTCTGGGTGACCCCGTCCAGCCAAGAGGGGCTCTCCGCCGACAGCTCCCAGTGCATGGCATCCATGCACTCCTCCGCCCATCTGTCCCTTCATCTGTCCACCGACCTGCCCTCCTTCCCTTCTCCCTTCCCTCCCTCCCTCCCTCTTTCCTTCCTTCCTTCCTTCCTTCCTTCCTTCCTTCCTTCCTCCCTTCCACTCACCCACCCATCCACCCATCTATCCATCCCACCACCTACCTGCCAGCCACTCATCCATCAATCTATCCACTAATCCATCCTATATTTTTTGAATGCCTTTGATGTGCTGTATATATCAGATTTACTAATTAATGACTTTAGGATTTAACCTCTATTTAATATGTAACTTTTATGTCATTTATTCCTAAAACCAGTATTTGTAGAGGCCTAACGTTAAGCAAGAAAATAAACACCTTAGGGGCGCCTGGGTGGCTCAGTCGTTAAGCGTCTGCCTTTGGTTCAGGTCATGATCCCAGGGTCCTGGGATTGAGCCCTGCATCGGGCTCCCTGCTCAGCCAGGAGCCTCCTTCTCCCTCTCCCTCTGGCCCTCCCCCTGCTTGTGCTCTCTCTCTCACTCATGCACTCTCAAATAAATAAATAAAAATCTTAAAAAAATAAAGTCTTAAAAAAAGAAAATAAACACTTTAGAACTTCCTATCTCTCTTCCTCTAAAGATTTAAACAATTACATTAAAAGCAGAACATATTGAATGTTTGAACACCTGCCTATGAATTTTTCTTTTCTTTCTTTCTTTCTTTCTTTTTTGCCAAGTTCCTAAGTTCTCTGACTTCAGAAATCCTAAGAATTACCATTTGGAACTCAGGTTTTTGGGATAAAAGCCATGGATAATTCAAGAGTGGTTTTTTTGTTTTTGTTTTTTAAGAGAGAAAGCACATGAGCAAGGGGGAGGGGCAGAGGGAGAGGGAGAGAGAGAGAATCTTAAGCAGACTCTGTGCTGAGCGCAGAGCCTGACGTGGGACTCAATCCCATGATCCTGAGATCATGACCTGAGCCAAAACCAAGAGTCAGATGCTTCCTTCCTTCCCAGGCTGCCCCAAGTGCCCCAATTCAAGAGATTTTTAAGGGTAGCTTTACCCATTTTTTGGCCTTGTGTTGATTTTCAGACAATCTAAACATCCATCAACTGATGAAAGGATAAACAAAATATGATATATACATACAACAGAATATTATTTGGCTATAAAAAGCAATGAAGTACTGACATATACTACAATGTGGATGAACCTTAAAAATACGTGAAATGAGCCAGTTTCAAAAGACCACATACTATATGATTTCATTCATATGAAATGTCCAGAAGAGGCAAATCTACGGAGACAGTCAGTTCGTGGTTGCCAGGACTGGGAAGTTGGTGGGAGGATTGGAGGGGGTGGTGATAGCTAAAGGATACAGTGGTTTGTAACAGGCCCTGCTTCTAGGGTGCTCAAAGTGGGCTGACTGAAGTCAAGAACCATAGTGATCTCAAGGTAACAAAAGCCAAGTTATCACAATTTTCCTCGTCTAGGAAGAAATGCAGAAACAGTCTTGTAGACACAGCCTCCCCCCACAGATATCCAGATAGCTCAGGGGCCTCAGTTTCCCCTTTTTCTGCCTCTGTGCATTGGCATGCAGGATGGAAAGTGCCAGATGAGTGACAGGAGGTTGTATAGTGTCCTTTCTCCTGCAGCTGCTCGAGAGAGTGCATTCTGGGGTGGAGGAAGGAGCAGGTGAAGGTGGGGGGGGGGTCAGCATTCACGGCTTTTTGTTTTTCCCAGGATGGCCAATCGAATCATGCCCCACATGCAGATAGAAGGCCATTATTCATTATTCTCCTGTGACCTTATGTCTAGAATTGTGCTGTCCAATAGGATGTTCTATCATGATGGGAATGTTCTGGGCTGTCTCCTGGGGTGACCACTAGCTTCTTGTGGCTACTGAGTACATGAAATATGCAGCCAAGGAATGGGATCTTTAAATGGAATCTATTTAATACAGCTACTAAATAGAATTAAAAATCTAATTAAAAATGATCAAAATTTTATACATCCGTGATGGCATATAAAATGTATATGTAATTATTTTATGTAAGATAAATGTATTTATGCAATTATGTGATATATAATATTCCTGTCATTATACAATATTCTATATTATAATTAAACATTTAATTATTTCTATGTATATATACACAGACATTTTTCATGCAACACAAAAGTCATCATTTTAAAATGTACAGTTCCATGGTTTGTAGTGTGTTGGGAGAGTTGTGCAACCACCACTGCTGTCCAGTTCTGGACCATTCTCATCCTCTCTGAAGAAGCCCTGTACCATTAGCCAGCATTCCCAGTTTCCACTCCTCCAGGCCCCGGGCAACCACAAATCCAATCTCTGTATGGATTCGCCTGTCCTGGACATTTCCTATAAGTGGAAGCATAGACCTTTTGCGCCTGGCCTCTTTCACTTTGCAGGTTTTCAAGGCTCATCCATTGTGTAGCCGGTGTCAGTATTTCATTCTTTTCATGACTGAATCATATTCCGTTATCTAGACATACCATATTCACTTATTCATTCATCCTGTTGAATGTGAGTTCATTTACATTGGCATTTAAATAGCACACGGGGCTAGCGGCTTCTATATTGGTCAGTGAAGATCTAGCACAAGAGGGAGAAGCTTATCCAAGTAGACAAATTGGAGACCTGAGTTCCAGGGCGAGGCACGGACCCCTGGTGTGGCTAGCCAACTTTATGTTTTTGGTCTACTTGTCTACTAAATGTGAGGGAGGGACGAATTCTTCCCAGCTCTGAAATCCCAAGACTATAATTTTTTTTTTTTTTTTTATAGACGAACTCCCTATCCATAATGCAGGGGGTTAGATTCTGGGTGGAGAATGTGTGTTTTAAGACCACCCAAACTCATCTGAGCTGTTGAAAGCTGTATCCTGGCTGGATACATGGGGGAAATATTGGGGCTTCTCTCAAGTGTGTTCTATTTCTGATGGTGTAGGTACTCCGTCTTTGGAGATCTTAGGGGGCATGACTTCTCCCCTTAGGTCTCTGAGATCTGGGCCGGGGGTTACCTTGAAGACCTTCTTGGCCCAGGTCCTGAAAGCCTCTTCTTGCCCACAGAGCTCATCCCCTTCCCTCATTTTCAGGATCCTCTCTCCTCCCAGCTCCTCCAAGAGGGTGTCCACGGCATGTCCAAAGGCGCAGAAATGAGGGTAAGCCCGGGAGCCAAGGCCAAAGACAGAGAACCTGCCAAGGAGACAACAAAAGGTCCATGCTAGAGAACTGTGGGGCATGAGACGGTGTCTGGTATTATGGATTCTATGTCCCCCCCACCAAATTCATATCTTGAAATCCTAACCCCCAACGGGGCTGTATTTGGAGATGGCACCTTTAAGGTGGTAACTGAGGTTAAATGGTGTCATAAGGTTGGGCCCTAGTCCAGTTGGATTTATGTCCTTAGAAAAGACACCAACATCACTTTCTCACTCTGACGGTGCAGAGAGGAGAGGCTATGTGAGGGCACAGCAAGAAGGTGGCCATCTATCTGCAAGCCAGGAAGAGAGGCCTCACCAGAAACCAATCCTAATGGCACTTTGATCTTGGACCTCCAGCCCCTAGAACTGTGAGAAAATGAATATCTGTTGTTGAAACCACCCACTCTGGTATCTTGTTATGGCGGCCTGAGCAGACCCTGACATCTGGTTATTTCTAGAAGGACTGTGTTTAGCCCATGGTGGTCAGACAGCCCTGAGCCCACCTGGGGAAAGCCATTTTTTTTTTAAGATTTTATTTATTTATTTGAGAGAGAGAGAATGAGAGATAGAGAGCATGAGAGGGAAGAGGGTCAGAGGGAGAAGCAGACTCCCCGCTGAGCAGGGAGCCCGATGCGGGAGTCGATCCCAGGACTCCGGGATCATGACCTGAGCCGAAGGCAGTTGCTTAACAATCTGAGCCACCCAGGCGCCCCATGGGGAAAGCCATTTTAAAATCTGGGAGCCCTTGGGGTCTCTTCTCCTTCCCTTCTGGTCTCTGTTAGGTGTGACCATCCTCAGGAGAAAATTCCCAGTGGTCCTGGGATGAGTTAGGGATAGCGATGACCCAGAACCACTGGCTTGTTTCTTGTGTGTCCCGTTCTAAGCCAGAGAAATTAGTCTACTTTTTTGACTTGAATTCTATCACTGACACAACCAGATAAGTTTTAAGTATAAAGATAATGAAAATCATAACACAGCTGTCCTCGGGGACCTATATCAACAAGGAGATCAGAAGGACTTGTCATTAACACATCAAATGTTCACTGTATGTTAACTAACTGGAATTAAAAACAAAAACTTAAAAAAAAAAACCCCACATCAAATGTTGGTGGGTAAACACGTTCTTCTAAAAGGGGATGAAAGATTTATAAATATGCTGACTCCACCGCTTGTGATGTCTATGAAACTAATTTGCTTTGCAAACCCTTTTTGCCTAGATACCACCAAGAAAACATGGGCGTTTGAATCAGTGGGGGTCAAGTTAACGAGATTTTCCTCTCTGTTAAGGTGGGCTGCCTTGATTGAGTACGAGATGGGAAGGGCGGTGTCTCAGATGGCCACTCTTGCTAGTTGACTGTCCTAGAGACAATTTATGTCACACTTTCAGGGCTCGGTCCTGGCTGTGGGTCTCAACCTCACTGGGACCGGAGCGACAGGTTGGTAAGTGGGACAGGAACACCGCACCCCACTTCTTTCCTAGGTTGGAATTTTCTGCCATAGACTATCATCTCAGACAAGCCCAGGCATGGAGCTGGATAAGCTATTCCACGCTGGCTCTGGTTCTGCATCTGAATCTCTTTGTTTAGGATGAAGGGGTCAAGTTGGCCAAAGATTGAGATGGGGGATGTGTGGAAGGTGGAGGGAGAGCTGGAAGGGACTCCGACTCTCTCTGTCATTGGAGAATGTGCTTGAGATGGGTCCAGGCATCTCATCGATCAAGTGAGGGTTAGCTGAAGTTAACGTCTGTCCTTGGACACCTACCCACATGCTTTCTGAGCCTCTTGTCCTTTCCTGTCTTTCCTTCCTCTGGGCTTGTAGAGCCTTTCCAAGGAAAGTATGTGGGATTAGGCAGTGTTACCCCCTCATCCCTCCTTCACCCGTGATCTTCCTAGAGCTGGATTCCTGTCCTTTTCCTCCAAGGGCAGTGGTGTGACAGGTAGGAGAGCTGGTAACCAGGAGCGGACTGGTTGGAGGGGGCTGGGAAGGAGCACTTTTGCCCCAAGCCCTGCCCCTTAGCTTCAGCCCAATGGAGATCGGAAATTCTAAGCACCAGTCATGACTTGTGGTTACAGCGTTTTTTCCTCAAACATGCAATATTTATGTTCACGGCATCAGCCGTACGTGACTTCCATTGATACTATTATTTCCTTATTACTACTGTTTAACTTGCTTTTAATTTGTACTCGCTAGCTTATCAAACCCACTTGTTTTCACTAACAGATGGCTCAGGTGATTCATTCATTAGTATGTTTTCTGGTACACCTGAAGACCCGCATCCCAGTTACTTCCTAGACTCGCGTTTCCACCACGATCTTCACCTCATGATTTCAAACTTCCTATTGTAAGCCTCCAAACCAGGAACTGGCAAACTTCTTATACATGGGGCTAGAGAGTAAATATTTTTAGGTTTCTAGGCCAAGAAGCAAAATCGAAGCTATTACGTACACACTTACATAACAGACAGAAAACAAATTCCTGCACATTTTTGTTGAGAAAATAAAAATAAAAAAAATTATTATTACAGTTATTGAGGATAATGTTTTAGTACTATGTCTACTTATGAGGCTAGAATTCCTTTTTTTGGGGGGGGGAGATAGCGTTTTGCTGAATTGGGATTCAACGGTAATGTCTCCTATCATCAAGTGAATTGCAAATGTTCAACTATAAAAACCATTCCCAGCTCACGGGCTGTGCAAGAGTACAGAGTGGCCGGGCTAAATGCACCTGCAAGCTGTAGCCTGCCAATGCCTGCCTGAAGCCATGATAGATTTAATATGGAAAAAATGGGTCTGGCTCTCAAAGTATAAAACTGATGTTCAATGTCAAGCTAAAACAATGCACTGATGTCAAACCCCACAGAATGAATAACACCCAGGGTGAACCCTAATATAAATTATGCACTTTGTGTGATAATGATGTGTCAGTGTAGGTTCATCCGCTGTACAAATGTACCACTCTGGATGGAGATGGTGGTGGTGGGGGAGGCTGTTTTTGTTGGGGGCTGGGAAGGGAGTATAAGGGAAATCTCTGTATCTTCGTCTCAGTTTTGCTGGGAACCTAAAGCTGCTCTAAAAAAATAAAGTCTATTAAAAAGGGCACCGCTGGACATAAAACTTCAATATCTAGGATCCCTGTGATGTGAATCATCTACCAAGCATTGCTGTGAGCAGGTACGAGAAGGTTCAGTTGGCAAAGGTCAGGAAGATTTGTGGCCAGGCCCGGATACTGGGCTTACATTAGCTTTGTGTTGACTAACATCGGCAAAATCAAGGATGTGACATCCAGTTTTCTTTCTTTCTAAGTGCTCACTGAACTCAATTCACAACTGTTGAAATGCAAAATATCTGTCCGTGTTCTACCTAAAATGACCTCTTGGTATGTGACCACTGTACTTTGGTAAACATGGGATTGGGCCAATATTTTTGAATCTGACTATACATTAGAGTCACTTGAGGAAATTCAGAAAATGAAAGGCAATGCTTGGTCCCAGTTCTAGACCAATTACATCAGAATCTCTGGAAATGGGGCTTGGTTATTGGTATATTGCAAACATCTCCAGATGATTTTGATGTGCATCCAGGGTTGAGAGCCGCTGGGGCATGAGCATCCAGGGTTGAGAGCAGGGTGTCTCCAGAAGCTTCTATTAGGTGTAAAACATATCACCATGAAGGGTAGTTCATTGAGTAATTTCTAGGGATTAACAGCCTTCAGAGCACATGATATGCTGATGATGGGGTGAGATTTGGGCGATGGAGCTCCGAGAGTGTGTTTAGGAAGAGGTCACAGGACAGCCCAGCTAGTGTGCTTTAACAGCGAGGGGGGAGTCTCCAGACAATGAGAGCGCAGCTGGTTACTCATGAGATGGATGGGAATAGAAGGGAGACCCCCTAACAAAGAGCCCACTTTGCAACTGAATCCAGTTCGCCAAGATGTCTTCCCTGATGCCCCCAGCCCCTGCTCACCTCACGTTTGCCAGGGGTCCGGCACTCTCAAAGTTGTCTCTGAGGTCTGGCCCATCGCCTGATGATTTATGGGAGTCAGAATATGAGGAAACGCTATTGAATCGGACCTTGTAGCTCCTGCCAAAACAGAAGAGAGACTGTGAGCTCTGGCTTGGAAACCCTCTTGAGCTCAATACCCCAAAGGATCTTCAAATGACCAGTCCCGTTTCTAGGACTTTCTCTTGCATGTTGAGACCATAAGGCTTCTATGGACTCTTCCAGAATGGATCAACTTACCTTCATCCACCATGATGACAGCTAGCCCTCTGTACATGACACCACTTGTATTTAAAATGTTTCTGACCACACTCGACTCAGGAATCTTGAGAGCAAGATGGTCAAAATGATTTAGTGGGCAAAAAGTCACGAATAGAACAGACCATCCCCTAACCATTAGACCACACTTCCTTGCTTCCCAAATTGTAACGAGCACATGAATCATCCTGGGATGCTGTTAAAGAGCAGATTCTGATTCAGCAGATCCAGGCAGGGTCTGAGGTTCTGCATTTCTAAGAAGTACCCAAGAGATGCCAATGCTGCCCGTCCCCAGACCTCACTCCAAGTAGCCAGGAACTAACTTGTGCTGTCCGCTATGGTAGCTCTGTCTATCTATTGAAGCGTAAAGTTAAATGGATTCAAAAGAAATACAGTTAAAAATTCTGTTCCTCACTTGCACTAGCCATGTGTCAAGTGCTCAGGAGCCACATGGCACTAGTGGCTGCCATATTGGATAGCACAGCTATAGAACATTTACGCCACCCTAGAAAGTTTTATTGGATTGTGCTGGACAACTCCCATTCAATACTCTCTCCATCAGGTTATGGACCTTGGACATTTCAAGGAGCTGTCACATTTCCCATTTCAAGGAAATAGTGGAAAATGTTCAGCACTGAGACGGGGCACGAAAAGAGATTGAATTTCTTATTAAACTCTTTTGAAGGGGAAGGAAGCTATCACTGGGACGGAAACCCCAGCACGAGAGGCTCGGGAGCCTTGAGACTTCAAAGAAAGATCCGGTTTCCCTGTTCTCCTCCAAAAGTGCGAAGTGTTGTTCTCAGGCAAAGCAAAAAAACAAAACATAAAACAAAACAAAATCCCAAGACCAGAAAGCAAAACAAAACAACTCCCCACAAACAAAAGATCAACACCCAAACCAAAACAAACGACTCAACAGACAAATCTGAGTGCAAAAGACAAAAAAAGGCATTGCGCATTCTGGCAGGCAGGGCTTCTGAGCTGGACGTTCTTCAAAGTTTTCGTTCCAGCATCAGGAAAAGTTCTAAATATATGTAAGTGTATTTTCTGCCCTAAAATAGTCTCACATTGAGTCATTTCTGCAAATAAGTCATGCAACATATCAGGGGGCGGCTGTGTTGTTAGTGTGGGAGGGATGGTTAATGCTTGTGGGTTAAAAATAACAGCACATGTATTTGTATGAGGTTTGAGGCTTTTCCAAATGCTTTCCTCTTTGTTTTTATCCTTTGATCCTCTCAACAACCCCCAGGGGTGGTTGGGGCAGAGACGGTTTCTCCCCATTTGGCAGGTGAGAAAGACTGAGGTCCAGAGAGGTCAAATGCCTTGCTCAAGGTTGCTTGGTGAGTTAGTGGTATAGCCTGGTTTAGGACTCAGGTCTCCTTGAGACCCAGATGTGGCCTTGGATGCTTGCACGTTGGGCACACACACCCGCATGCATACATGAACATGGGGCATACATATGGGCACACACGTGCATGAACATGTGTGCACACAGACGGGCACACACGCGCATGCACACACGCACACACACTCTACCTCTGCTGGCTGTCACGGGTTGCAGCCAGACCGCGGACTCCTGGGTCACCTTGGGGGAGGGGAGGCCCTTTACGGGGAAAGAAACGCAAGGGTTCCGGGTACCTAGAGGGGAGAACGGATGGTGCCCTCTCTCTCCCTGAAGGAGAGGTGAGGGGGAGCCTGTGGTGGTCACCTGGGAAGGAGAGGGGCAGGGAGAGCAAGGACAAAGATGGCTGGGCAGAGGGACGCAGCTACCGCTTGGATATGGAACGTACGTAAGCTGGGCAACAGGTGCTTTGCTAAGGAGAAGTGTTGGTCTCCCCGAAAGACAGCTCAGCATGCATGCGCCCTCTGTTCTTTGCTTTATGCGGGACTTACGAGCTTTGCAAGGTACTCATGATTACAGGTCACCTTACGAAATATCTTTAGAACCCAACCCCCCATTGGGACGCAGTTTCACCATGAATATCTTTTGGCTACAGGCTGTTTTTTTTTTTTTTTATAAGGTATTTTATCTTCTGAACTCAACCTCTGTATTAGCTAGAATTCCACCACGAGTGTCCGATGGAACGGTTCTAGGGAAAGAAGCTCATTTTCACTGATTTCGAACGTAGGTTTCCAAAGAGGAGAGATAATAAGAACTGGTGTTTATACTTAGGGGCTCCTGAGTTTTCACAAGATGCTTACATCTATTTTCTCCCTTGGTTCTTACAAGTTAAGAAGTTAAGGCAGGTATAACCAGCCCTATTTGATGGAAAAAGAAACTGAGGCACGGGTCAGTGAAGTCACCCAAGGAGCCAAAACATCAGCCCCAGTGGACCGCAGACATCTACCAGGTAACATTGCTCACAAGTGGAGCTTAGATCACAAAAACCAGCCAGTACTCGAATGTGAACCCCAGATACCAAAAGACAATCTTCAGTTACTCCCCGAGTATGTAATGTGACCCTGGACATTCACTTACTTCCTTTCCTCGTGCATAGAGTTGGGGTGCCTCATTTCCATCAAAGCAGAGCCAAATTTCTGGAAGCCAAAAGAGATGAGTGAAATGTGAAGCAGAGATTTAGGAACCCGGAACAGAGTCGGGCACTGAGCGTCTGGGGTCCTGGCTGGCACAAGTGGAGCCTGATGCCTCCGGGGGCCAGGATGCTAGACACGGTCAGGGGTTCGGGCTGGGCAGCAGCGCTTGAGCTGCAGGTGCGTGTGGAAGGACCCGCTGATTAAGTGACTACAGGGGTGGTGCTGCCATCCCCAGCCCACACATCCCCACTGTGGCTTTCTCTTTATAAAAATATTGTCCCCACTTCTCTCATCTGGAGCAGGGGATGCCAAGGTCCTGATGGGAGCATCCATCCCAAAGCAGGAGCTCACTCGGGCGATAGCATTTTCACTAAGGATTGGCTAATCAGTGGACACCAAAACACTGAGGTCTTGGAATTGTCCAATCTTTGTGGAACTTGGATCCAAATCGAAGTCACGGGCTTTTGATGCTCTGGGAGGATTTGCTGCTGACTGGCAGGTGTAACTGCTGTCCCTCCTTCTTGCCCCTGGTGGAGAACATGCTAGAACAGGTGGAAGCTCATCTTACCTCCCCATTCTCAGGGGGGTCTCCATTGCCAAAAGTGCTGGTAACCACCAGGACCAGAGTTTCATGTTCCAGATGTACAATGTCATATTCTTCCATGGACATCACCTAGGTGGGTGAGGGTGAAGGAACGGGTGGGGGAGGAGGGAGAGGAAGGGAGAAGGTGACAAGGAGAAGAGTTAAGAGAAAACAAAAAAGTGATGGGGGAAGGAGAAGAAGAGAGACAGAGGAAAAACATGAGTCATCTTGAACCATCTCCTTTGGAAGGAGAACCAAAAGTTCTGGGTGTCACTATTTCAAGGGAAGAACTAAAAGCTTTTTGGCAGTGTGGGACCTTTCTATGGTCACAGTGGCCTGAAGGACCAAAAAGAACCTGGGGGCGATGGTGAAAGGGGTTGGCCTCCTAATAGAGATGGATCTTGATGGAGATCCTTGGGCTTAAAACCAACTGATCTTGGAATCTTCTTGACCACATTTAGGCTGGGAATGGCCCAGCTGGCTCTGACCAGGTCTGCTCAGCCTCCTTGCTAATCCTCCCTCCACCAGCATGGGACCTGGGCCAACTAAGTCTGAGACCCTTGTCATAAAGAAGATTATTGTCCTATATCTTAGCATCTCTTGAACAACATTTCTCCAGGTAGGTTCTGGGGAAGCCCAGTCTCCTGAGAGGCTCCTTGAGAATAAGTGAGCCATGAACAAACATGCTTATATTCTAACCCCTTCTCATTTGGAGATTAGAATACAGTGGACCTTGAACAACATGGCTTTGAACTGCGTGGGTCCACTTATTCGTGGATTTTTTCCCAATAAATACAGTATAGTACTGTCAATGCATTTTCTCTTCCTTCTGGTTTTCTTAACATTTTCCTTTCTCTAGCTTCCTTTACTGTTAGAATACAGTATATAATACATACAACATACAAAATATGTGTTAATCAACTGTTCGTGTTATCAGTAAGGCTTCTGGTCAACAATAGGCTAGTAGTAGTTAAGTTTGGAGGAGTCAAAAGATATATGCGGATTTTCAGCACCCCTGACTCCCATGTGTTCAACTGTATGGACTTGCAAATTGAAGGCTCTGATACTGAACTGTGTTTAATGCAGGGCTTCCCAAACTGACCCCAGAATGTTTTCTCATAAACCCTCTAAGATTTGGCTCTGAGATGGAGTTTCATTTTGTGATTCCTGGACTCTTCTGGAAGGTCATGGAAAGAAGGGCATCAAAGTCCCCTGCAATTTATATGAATATGCATGTGCATGCCAATGGGCACCTTGGGGTGTGCTTCCATCCATTCTCAAAGGTTCTTCTCTGTTGACTTCCCTCTCTCCCCTTCCCAGCTGTATATTTACCATGAAGAAGCAGGGATCTGGCACTGCCCTATACCCACCTTGGCATCAAAGGCGTGTTTGAAGATCTCGCACAAGGTTTTAGCATAGGCCTGCGACTTGCCTGTCTCTGTGGCATAAAGGATGGTCGCCTTGACCCTCTTGGCCATTGCCTGCCCCATGAGCTTGGCCGAGAACTTGACAGCTCTGGGGAGAAGAGGATGGAGAGGAAAATGGGAAATATAGAAAGGAGGGAAGATGCCAGACTGGGGCTTTTGGGCAAGAACCATGATCCTTGAAATGTAGTGGGAGAGAACTTTCTCTCTTGATCTTTGATGGTTTCAGGGACACTAGAAGCCTGAATTTAGCACCATATTGACCCCTTTATTAAATCCCTCCAGAGCAACTATTCATGAGCTAACATGGTTGGTTAGTTTTGTTAATTTGTTGCTTGGTTGACCAATCCCAGTCTTGAGAACCTTGGTTTGCCAAGCATGGTCCCCAAAGATGATCATTCATTCATTCATTCATTCATCAAACATTTGTTGAGTGCTGAATCATGTGCCAGGCATAGTTACAGGAGCTGAAGAACATAGACAGCTATCTGTCACGGAGCTTACGTTCTAGTGTGTATGTGTGTGTGTGTGTGTGTGTGTGTGAGAGAGAGAGAGAGAGAGAGAGAGAGAGACTATCATTAATAAATCACCAGGTATTGAGTTAGAAGGAATCTTATAGGTTTATAAATCCATGAAGGAAGGACTAAATCAGGCTTCATCTTCAGGGTCTTGCACAGAGCCTGATAGCTAATAGGCACTAAATAAATATCCATCAAAAGAGGGAATGAATTTTAAAGATGCTGTTCTCACTGAATCCCTGGGGAGTTTAAATATCAAGTCTAGGCTCTTTCCAGCTAAATGGAAAATTCAGAACCAGGGTTCCTTCCTTCCTGTCAATGAGGGCCTGGGGGTGGCAGACAGGCAGAGGCCCAGGAATGCCTGGGCTCACCTTCTGAGCCAGCATCCCCGGTCTAACGAGGGACCTCAGAGAAGACAAATTGCTAATTACTCCCACCTGGGGATTATTGGTGGTAAATTCATTTTTGAGAATCAGGGAAACCACCCACGCTGCAATCCGAGCTCAGGGGGAGAAACAGAAAAGAATAAAAGGTGTCTGGAGGATTCCCTTTGAATGACTGGAGCATAAAAAAGCATCTATAATTAACTACCATTGTTTCCACCCCACACTTAATAGTGCAATTAATGTTTTAGATTTCTTCCTCCCTTTTCTCCCCGAAACAGTTGAACTGAACTGAAGCCCAAGGCTGCCCTCCCCGAGAATATCTGTGATTCTCTTGTTAGGGAAAAAAGGGTTGCTGATGTGTTCTTGTGTGGCTGGAAGACGGGGTTAGGTGGAAGGAGAGAGGTGGCATGAGCCATGTTAATGGCACAAGGACCTAGGTTTGGAGTTCCTGAAGGACCCACCAGTGCCTTGCTTCTGGGGTTTGTGGCATGGCTGGTGTCTGTTGTCCCTCTAGGGATTGTACGCAGAGAGTTCTGGACCCGAGGGTGCAGATGGAAGAGTCGCTCAGTGCACACCCAGAGCCTCTGCCGAAAGGTTATCCCCATTAGATCATCTCGGTCAGCCCTACCTCACTCGTCAGCGGGTCCCTTGGTTGGCCACACATTCTTCAAGAATCATTACTCTTCAGTGGCTTGGCCCATAACCTCTTTCCCTCCCTTCTTTGCTCAGTTAAGTCTATTCATCTCATTCTTTAGCCCAATTGTCATCTTCTGAAGGAAGCCCTCTCTGACCTCCCAAACTCGGTTAGCTCTGTTTACGGCACCATGAATCACTCCTCGATAGCACTTGCAATGTTTACTGTATTTGTGTGATTCTTGGAAAATGAATGGCTGTGAGCTTTGACAGGAACAACACTGATCTGGCTCATTAGGCATCGCTGGAGCCTAGCACAGTGCCTGGCACAAGGTAGGCCCTCGGTATTCATTTGTTGGCCAAATGAACGAATGAATGAATGAATGAGTGTTGTTAGAGTTCAGCCCTGGGTGAGAGCCCTCTTGAGTTGGCTCATCCCAGTTCCTCCCACCTCTGGGTTCAGTGACTTCCTGTAAGTAGCTTGAAATTGGCCATAGCGGGAGTATTTATACCATGGAAATTGGCAAATGTTACAAATTTATTATTATTATTATTAACAGCACCATTGTTATTATTTTTAAGAGACCTGGTTTACCAACATGCCATTGCCTCCAAGACAAGAATTTAGGACACTGAGGTGAGGAATATGAGGTTGGGAAATAAAAAAGTTGAAGCAACCTCCGCATCTCCGACCCTGAGGCAAAGAAGGCATGAGGGCGTCAGAGAAGATGGAGAAGCCACATCACATCACATGAGGGGTCAGAGGCACAAGCATTGCCCAGCCTCCTCTTCCTGGGGCTCTCTGGGTTTGGAGGCACTTCTATCCCCCACCTACTTCAGGAGACTTACTCTGCCAGCTTCTTGAAGCCGATGGCTCGCCGCTTTGTGGGAGTCCCATTGGTACCTTTCCAGACGTGGGTGTTCCAAGGCTCAGGCTGGGAAGAGAGGACTATGGTCACTGTAGTGAGGAAGTCTAGCTCCTCTTGGGGGACACTCAGGACTTCCTGGGTCCTTGTGGCTGCCCAGCTTTGTCCAACCCTCGGCCCTTGAAGGGACTGATTCTGCTGGTGGTGACCACAGGGGTCCTTGCACAGAGTAGCTGGTCCAGTCTCCCTGCATTGTCCTGCTAGACCTTTCCACTCAGCCCTTAATCTCTCTCAAACACTCTCCTGGGGGACCCCAGTAGTCTTTGAGCTAGAGTTGTGCTGGCCAATAGGGTAGCCGCCAGCCACATTGGCTATGGAGCACTTGAGTGCCCAAAGAGTAAGTCTGAATTCAGACATGCTTAAAGCAAAACATGCATCCCAAATATTGAAGATTTAGCACCGAAGAGGCAGGGAGGGGCAGGACCTGGTATTCGAAGGAGGGGGTGAGCCGGTAGTTGAGCATCTCCTGGTGGAAGACCGGGGTGATGCTGCCAGACATGGGGGGCACAATCCACACCCAGTCCGCGGGGCAGCCCCCCCGGCAGCGGTATTCATTCTCCATGTGCTTAATGAAGGACTCGGTGGCAGAGTGGTGGTCAACAATGGTCACTTTGTCACTCTGTGGGAGAAAAGGGGACAGGGAGTCAGGAAGGAAAAGAAACTGGGGTATTTCAGGACTCTGTTCCCCATCGAGCAGCGTTTCCCAGAGGGTGGTCCCGGAGATGATGTTAGGTGGTTTAAAGTGATTCTCTGCATTTCCCTCTCAATTATACCCAGGCGAGAGTCTCCTTTTGGTGCTAACCCATTTTCAACGCCTCTCTTGCCAATTTTCCTCTCTCCTTCCTCCCTCTCCCCCTCTTTTTCACCAGAGAGAGGAACCTCAGGCAGCACTGAGCTAGAATTTAACAACTCTGTATTGTTTTCCTTGTGTTTATTTGTTTATTAATTTATTTAATATTATAATTACCTTCTATTTATGGCAACTGATGCTGACCCTCCATTTATGGTGCTGATATAAAATCCTCTTAAAATAAAAATTTTTAAGTACTCAAGAGGAGTTTATTAAAATTAAAACACAGAAATTGCTATAGAGGAGGGTGGACTGCATATCTGGGTAACCAGTCCCCAGGGCCCGTGCTCGTTGGCTGGTCTGGATTCACACCTTGTCTAAACAGTGCTTTCCCTCTCTGCCCACAAACCCTTGCCCCTTTCTGCATCTTCCTTCCTCAGTCACTCATCCCACACACATCTCTCCTATCTCTGGCTCCCTGGTCTTCATGTCAATCCCCCAGTCCACCAAACTATGCTCCATCCTTCTCAACGACTCCCGAAAACCTCACTCCTCCACACTTGAGAGAGAAGAGGGGACTTCCTTCCCCCTCATTCCATCTCAACCTGTCTCTTCGCTGGTATATTCCTCCATGTGTCCATTCTCCCTACGCCTGACATTGGGGCCCACGGTCCGTATTCGTGTCTATCCGTGACTTGATCTGTTCATTCTACTGTATGTGCCTTCCATGGATGTCTAGAAGGGCCTAGCTTCCCAGACTCTCAACCCCCAGAGGATAGAGCTGGTCTCTGTTACAGAGAGGGATCTCTATTCTATGGTCTACTATAGACTTCTGCCCGGGAGAATACCAGCTAATGCCTGCCACCCTGGCATAATTATTAGCAGTGTCTTCCTTTTGCTCTCAAATTATCATGATTTAGATAATAAATTCTACAGCCTTCCTATGTAATACCACCTACCACAGAGCCACGCATTGAGTGGGCCGATATGCTTCTGATAATGAAGATGGGTATTCGTGTCTGTTATGTGATAGTCTGAACCCCCAAGAGGTGGAAAGACACAGAGGATGCCTGCCATCCCAATTCTAATAAATCATAAGCAACAAGTCCCAATGCCCCTCCCCCATCTATTCATCTCTTCCTCAAACGGTCTCCACCCAAGATCCAAAGTGGAGATCAAGGCATGTATGCTGTGAAGTAGACCTTGCTGGCGGACAGATCACCCCGCCCCCAGTAGCAAAGTCTCTTGACCCTTCTGCTCCAAGCGCTGGAAGGTTTTATAGCTCCCCCTGGAGACTAGACAACCAGGATGTGTGCCTTGTGCTACCTGGAAGCTGTAGAGAACAGCAATGTTGATTTCCACCAGCGCCTGGTCCTTCCACAGGGAGGACGTCTTCCTCATGTCCAAGTTCATCTTCTTGGCCACTTCCTGAAAAAGGAAGGAAACGCAGACTCACAGGCTAGGCCACCCCTGGAGAGACAGGGCTAGCTAGTGTCACCAATGAACTTCTTCACTAATTATTCAACTCACTGCCAGACTGACAAACTCACTCAAAAGACTTTTCTATTGAGAATCCACTGGTAGCAGAAAACCAGAAAGACTTGGGTGGCCCTTTTATTTTTGAGCTTACCTTCTAGTTGGGGAGAGAGACAGTTAATATTGTGATAAGTGCTAATTCCTAGGGAGAAAAAAAGACAAGGAAAGGAGATTAAGAGGGATGGGGGGCCGGACTGAGCCAGGATAGTCAGGGAAGACCTGCTGTGGAGGTGGCATATCAGGTGAGACCCAGACGATGAGAAGAAGCAAGATATCTGCAGGTGTGCGGAGGGAAGGTCCTAGGCAGAGAGCACAGCAGGTGCAAAGACCCTGAGGTGGGATCAGGCTTGCACCGTCTGAGATATAGAAAGAAGACCAGTGTATTTGAGGGGCGGGGGGCAGTGAGCCAGGGGAATTGGTGGGAGAGAGAGGCAGGACTGGATCATGCAGGATTTGGGATAAGCCGAGGAGTCAGGATTTCATTCCAAATATCACGGAGAGGGTCTTTGGAGGGTTTTAAGCAGAAGAGTGGGTCTGGAAGTGGCATCATCCGCTTTCTAGAAGGAAAAGCTCTCCACCGATCCTGCTCCACACCTACAGTAGCCATACTTGGGATCCAGACCATGGGTGCTTTGAGCTCAGGGGGACACCTGCCTGCGTCTATCTGACAGATAAGGACACTGAGGCTCAGCAAGGTCCATAGAGCCATTTGGCTTTGGAGCTGGAGCCCAGGCAGACGCATAACATCCAAGACCTGAGAGCAGCTCCCCAGCCAGCACTGGAAACAAACCAACTCCTGACATGTTACAGTTCAAGCTGAACCGGGGGCTGATGTCCGGAGTGGGGAAGACCCAACAGCAAATTCCTTAATTAGAGCCTTGCTTTTCCTTCCTCTGTCAATTCTAGTCACTTGTGGGAGCCCAGGTCTCATTATGGGGCTAGGAGGCGACAATTTCTCAGGTTTGGGTAAACTCCTTCCCAGCCCAGCTGTCAACATTTATACAGGAACAGTGGTTGGACCAGGAGGGCTGGCGCGGGAGCGCATCTCATTTAAGATACTTGGGGAGGACTCCCTGCAATCGAAATGTAAGCAGAGATCACGAAAGCAGATCTCATATTAATTCATTCTTTGAAGCTGGGGTGTTAGGGTCTGCTGTGGTCCTTTGGCAGTGACACATCCACAGAAAGAAAGAAATTTCCTGCTCTACATAAATACATACAAAACTTGAGTTATTTTATGAGAGAGGAAAGTGTCTATAGCCATTATGCTGCTCTTGTAACTTCTACACCATTACTTTGGTTACAAGAATGGAAAGCAGTTGCAGGAAAAAAAAAAGACTCTATGATTTAAAAAAAAATCCCCAAATGTGACTTGGGCCACATCTACGGAAATTGCCTGAAATGTCTTTTCCTTTCCTGCCAGAAGTTTGCAGAGATCAATGGCTACCCAGTAGAATCTTCTGGGGAGCTTTGAAAAATGCTGGTATCGAGGCTCTATCCCTGAGCAATTATATCTGAATCCTGGTGAGTGGGACGCAGGCATAATAAAGTTCCCCAGGTAATAATTCCAGTGTGTGGCAAGGCTGAGGACCCCTGGCTTCCATTTCCAAGCTAATACCCATGGGATTTTGGGCATATAACGTTGTCTGAGTTTTAGGTATACAAATTTAAGGCCTTGGTTTGATACATTTATATATTGCAATATGATTTACCACTGTTAGTTAATATCTCCATCATGTCACATAATTATTATTTCTTTTTCCGTGGTGGGAACAATTAAGATCTAGTCTCTTAGCAACTTTGAAGTTTATAATTCAGTATTGTTGACTATAATTACTCTTCTCTGCATTAGATTTCCAGAACTTATTTATCTTTTCGCTGCAAGTTTGTACCCTGAAACATCTCCTCCCTAACTCCCCCACCCACGAGCCCCTGGTAACCAGCATTCTACTCTCTTTTTATGAGTTTGGTTTTTTTACATTCCACATACAAGCGATATCACACAGCATTTGTCTTTCTCTGTCTGACTTATCTCACTTAGCATAACGTCTTCAAGGTCTATCCATGTGGACACCCATGGATTTTATTTTATTATTATTATTTCTAAAGACTTTACTTATTTATTTGAGAGAGAGAGAGAGAGAACAGACAGACACAAGCAGGGGGAGGGGCAGAGGGAGAAGCAGAAGCAGGTTCCCCATTGACCAGGGAGCCCGACACGGGGGCTCAATCCCAGGACCCTGGGATCATGACCGGAGCCGAAGGTAGACGCTTAACTGACTGAGGCAGCCAGGCGCCCCACACCCATGGAGTTTAACAACAGAAACCTAATGCTCAATTCTGAGTTCTAATCTTGCCTCATTTACTGTGTGACATAGGCCCAGTGCTTGACTTCTCTGTTTCTCATGCCTCCGTTTGAAACACAGCCCGCCACACAGTTGTTAGGAATCAGTTGCTGGCAGGACCATAGCTATCCTGATGCATCTGCCAGATTTGAGCTCCAGACTCCACCCTAGCAGCCTTTAGTAGATGAGGATGACTCAGCCAAGGAGGGAATCAGACCCTCCACTGAGAAATGCATATGTCGGCAAACGGCTGCCAACTCTCCTCCCTTGTTTTTCAGGAAAGAGGCAAGAAACCTTCCGAGTTCATGGGTCATTTTCAAACCATTCTAATAAGAGGCCGTGTAGCCGGGTGGTTAGAAACTTGGACCGTAAAGCCAGCCTGAGCTCACATCCCCGCTTCTGCCACTTGCTAGCTGGCTGACCTTGAGCTTGTCGCTTTAACCTCTGAAAGGTCTCAGCTTCCTCATCTGTGAAACGGGAATTGTCATACCCAGAGGTTGTGCTGGGGATGAAATGAGCACATCATCTATATACATGGTGCTTGGCACAGTGCCTAGCCCGTAGCACATGCGCTGTTCCCGCTGCGGATGCTCTGGGGTGGCTGGGGGCTTCACCGGCAGTGCAGCCTCTGTTCTAACCTCTCCCAGTTTCCAAGACCCAAAGCTCGGCTGTGGGGAAGGACCGATGGGTCCGCCCCCTCTGCCTCCTGCCTGCCCATCACGACGGCCGGGGAGGGACCTCACCTCCAGGATGTTGTATCGAGAGTTGTCACAGTAGTCGCGGACACCGATCTCAGTGCCCATGTACCAGCCGCTGAAGGGGCAGGCGCTGAACTCCAGGCCGCCAATCTCCAGCAGCATGTTGGACACAGCGGGGAGGCCGTACCACTTCAGGCCCAGATCCTTGAACCACTCAAACCTGCGGAGAGCGACACGGCCCAGCTCGCCACGGGGCAGGAGTCTCTCAGGCAGACTGGTGGGTGGGGCAGCCAGAGTCTGGGGGTGTGGAAAGGCCAGCAGCCTCCTGGGACTTGCTATGTCAGCATCTGACCCCTGGGCCCCACTTCAGACCTGTGGGATCGCAGGCTCCATAGCTGGGTCCGATGATATGCATTTTTAACGTGTCTCCCAGGTGATGTGGAGGAACATGCAAGCCTGGGAGCTGCTGTGCTGGGCAGCTATTGATCTCCCAAACCCACTCTGAAAGTTAATCCAGGAGGAAGGGAGTCTTGCCAAATTCCTTCCTACCTCAGGGACTTTGCACGGCAGTTCCTTCCTCCTGGGAGCTTCTCTCTTCTTTCTGTGTCTGTCCAGCCTTTACCCAACCTTTAATTCTCAGCTAAAATGCTGCTTACTCTGGGAAACCCTCCCTGATGCTCAGTTTAGGTTGGGTCAGGCGGCTTGATGACTCTGGGCACCATAAAATTTCTTTTGTAGCACTTTATTGGAATTAAGCGGTTATTTGGGCAATAGTATGTTTAAGTTCTCCTTCTTGGGACTGAAAACACCATGGAGGCAGAGACCAACTCAGCTACAAAGGCCTGCATAATGGCGGGCCCAGAGCAGGAATCATAAACCATGTTGAAGGAACGCATTGACGAATGTAGGCCAGGTTTCACCAGGAAGACCGGGTGAGTTCCCAGATACTGGGTAGCGTATGAAGCCTCAGGACACTTGTTCCCTCTCCAGGGCTGGGACGAGGGGGAAGTCAGTAAGGCTCTAGCCTTGGGTACAAAATTTAAGGGGGCTCCAACAAACCCGTAATTAAGACCAGTACCAATTTTCATTTATGTTATATTCTAAATTTACTCCATGTTTTCCAAACAAAATCAATGCAAAAAAAAAAAAAATCCACACAAACAAACCATCAAAACTTTAAAGGAAGACAGGTCCCACCTCGCAGGTGCATGACTCACCTTGCATGCTTCACCTGAATTTTTTGATATACAAATTAATTTTGATAAAAAGATTGCATTAAAATAATATTTGTCTGGATTATTGAGCTCCCCCCCACCCCATTTTGCCTCCAAGGTCAGTGTCTCACTATGGATTTCCTTCACTCTCAAACCGTGAATTCTGCTCGTGCTGCTGGCTCAGCCCTTGCAGTTCCTTCCTGGCTCCAAATTCCTTCTGGACTTGACCCACATCAGGTCACGTAGTTTTAAACAGCTCTATTTTAAAATGAGTGCCCACGACAAGAAAAGAGGTGCTTCTGCCTTTCTGGAAAGCTGGACAAAGGCTGGAGAAAGGGCAGGTCCTGGCTGATTGCGTAGGAGTGGGGTGAGAAGGGAGATGATGGTTCTGAAGAGATGGTCATCCCCTGGCTGGCCAAGGAGGACTTACTGCTTGGAGGGGGGTGTCCACTGTGAGCAAGGAAGCAAGACCTCCTTGCAGCCTCTGTCTGGGCTGGAGGGAGAGCCAGGGGGTTTAGGGAGAGGCAGAGAGGGGCACTGGGTGAATCCCACCCCCGCCGGCCCCCCCAGTTCCTCTTACTTGGGGTGCCTGATGGGCACTTCCAACACCAGCTCTGGAGGGATCTGGAAGAGCTCAGGGTCGTTGCCATTGGCCTGGAGCAGGAGTGGTAGAACATCGAAGCGGCCCCTTGGGGGTTTCCAGCCCTGCTGCATGCAGATCTGCAACCAGAAGCGACCGGTCACGCCGCCACCACCGCTACCGTGCCCCAGACCCTCCAGACACTGGGGCAGCGGGAGAAGGCACAGAGATCCCAGTGCAAGCCGGCCAGCAGCACCTTCCTCTGGAGGCTCTGGGCCACATTGTTCTTGTCCACCGGGAACTCCCGGAGGGCAAGCGCAGAATCTGACTGTTGTAGCTATAACACCCTTGAGCACAGGGTCTGGTGCGGAATCTGTTGTGTCTGCGGAATCTGTTGTGTCTATAACACCCTCGAGCACAGGGTCTGGCACGTCCTAGGTACTCATTCTGGAACTGTGTGCATCGGGTACCCTGAGATAGAAGGAAAATCTGGGGCGCCTGAGTGGCTCAGTCGTTAAGTGTCTGCCTTCGGCTCAGGTCATGATCTCAGGGTCTGGGGATCAAGTCCCGCATCGCGCTCCCTGCTCCGCGGGGAGCCTGCTTCTCCCTCTCCCACTCCCCCTGCTTGTGTTCCCTCTCTCGCTGTGTCTCTCTCTGTCAAATAAATAAAAATCTTAAAAAAAAAAGAAAAAAGAAAACCTACCACATTTGACAAGGGCGGAATTATTAGAATTTATGCATAAATGCATCAGTTAGAGCAGCTGTCCAATTGAAATATAAAGCAAGCCAATAGGTAATTGAAAACTTTTTAGTAGCTACATTGAAATTCTTTTTAATTTTTATTTTTTTAAAGATTTTATTTATTTGAGAGAGAGAGAGGGAGAGGGAGAAGCAGACTCCCCGCTGAGCAGGGAGCCCGACGTGGGGCTCGATCCCAGGATCCTGAGATCATGACCTGAACGGAAAGCCAGACGCTTAACCAACTGAGCCACCCAGGTGCCCCTTTACTAGCTACATTTAAAAAAGTAAAAAAAAAAGCCCAACCAAAAAGCAGGTGAAATAATTTAAATAATATGTTCATTTTAAATAATATATTTTAATTTCAATAATATTTGATTATCGGTTACTAACCATCATAATTATAATATTTATTATAGTGATATTAACTTATTAATATTATATTAAAGTACTGATAGCAACATATTTAACATTAAAGTTAAATATGTAATATAGTTATCCAATAAATATGTCAAATATACAATATATAACATATAATTAAATAATTAAATGCATTAATCATTAATGTCATAATGATAAATTATTAAATACATTATTAATATTACTATAATAAAAGATATTGAACATAAATGTTAATACATTTATTAACTCAATAGGTGTATTAATTTTTAATAAACATAATAGAGTAGTCTAACATTATCTACAGTATTATTTCAATATGTAATCAAGATAAAAATTATTAATGAGGTACTTTCCACTCTCTGTTTTGTTCTCAGTCTTTGAGATCCGGTGTGTATATTTACACTTAGGACACACCTCAGTTTGGATTTTTCCAGGGCTCACTAGCCACCCATGGCTGCCATGCTGGACAGAGCAGAGCAAGAGGGTTTCAAAAGATCCAGTTATGTGGTTATGTTTGGGGTGATTCTTTCTGTGGTGTCAGTAGGAAGAGGAAGCACGAAATCAGGGGCTTAGGAGAACATGTGCTGTTAGCGAGGTTTCTGGAGACAGAAGCGGAGGAAGAGGCCAGGAGGACAAGGTCAGCCAACTATGCAGTTAGCGCTCAGCCAAGTGGAGCCGAGAGTCTGGCTGAGTCGAAATCGGCACAGGTGCAACTCCTGGTCGCCCTGGTTACAGCCCCTTCTTCTCGATAATAACATTTTAATAAGAAAAGCCACATGCAAATGAAGTCAGCAGTAATGAGGGACTGGAGCAACGCTTGATCTTGCCAGCTCTGTCCTGAGGGGTGGCGTTTGAGGAAAGAACAGAGATGAATCTCAGCTGGGGATGAGTGGGTGATAAATAAGAGGGGTGCCGGGCTGTGTGCCCGAGATCATTCTAGGCATGGGTCTGCCCACAGTGTCTCCTACGGGCACAGGTGCTGTTAAGCTACCGTGCATCACCTATGCTACCTGTCTGCATCCCCACGGATGGGAGATGGCGGTGTTTGCTTTCCTGGTGGCTTTTATGAACTGACTCGGGCTGCCAGAAACTGTGATCATCTTGGTACAATGCAGAGACAAGCCCATCCAAAGAGAGGCTGGATAGCTAGAACTGGGTGATCGGATGAAGGAATGATAGGAGTCTGCTGTATTACCCAACTCCGAGCAGGTATACTTGTCAGCTTCTCTCCTGCCGGTGGGAGGCAGGAGATTTGGACTGCACTTCCAGCTTTCTCTGTGCTCATTTAGTGGCCTTGGATAACTCACTGGGCTCTGGTGAGACTCAGTCTACTCATCTGTGAAGTGGGACAACAGTTCCTATCATGACTAATGGCTGCAGATGACCAAATGGCCAGCTGAAAGGGAACCAGCCAGACTGGGGGCAGCCAAAAGGAACAGGAGGTCCGGAGAGGAGTCCATGGTGCCCCTTCTGGCTGCTTTCCCTATGATGATAACATTAAAGTAAGAGATGGCTGTGGATAAAGCCAGCTTGGGGGACTGAGAGCCCAGGCGAGGGCCAGGGGGGCACACACCTCTGTGAATTCCACATTGGCTGGGTCCCCGAGGATGGAGCCGTCGGGCTGCTTGTAGCCAGCGTAGCGGATGAGCTGAGAGTTCCAGACTCGGAAATCATGCTTGCCGTCAGTCCTCTGCGGAAATATGGTGATGGCCGACCTGTGGCAGAGAGGGGGGGACGTGCGGGGTCAGGGCGGGGCTTGCACCTTGCGGACCTATTGGAAAGGGCGTCACCCAGGCCACCCAGTGCGTGAGGCTCAGGGTGGATGACCTCTGTGCCAAGGTCCTCAAGGGACCACGGAGCCGCTGTCGGAAGGGAGGGACCATGCCCTGTCCCCACACTGGAGCATTGGTCTGAGGAAGGGTGGAGGATGGGAGGCCCCACGCCAGCCCACCGAACAACAGAGGTTGCTGCTCTAACTGGAAACTCTTAAACCCCCTTGACTTGGGCCAGTTTCCTAGGGGTTCCTTGGCAGCAGGTGACCTCCAGGGAAACAACAGGGGATCCTCCTTCCCTCTAAGAGCCCACCACTGATTCCCAGGTCCAGTGTTGCTCTTACTGCCATCCTTAACTTCTCGCCCCACCTGCGCCCACTCCCAGTACCATACAGAAGTCTAGACACTTACAGCTGGGAAGAAATCTTAGTGCTGCCTTTGTACTCACGTTTATTTACTTTAAATAAAAACTGGAGATCGCCACTGGCCTCGCCTACCTAAATAGGCATCTAGAGAGCGTATACCGTTATAACATTGCAGGAAGGTGCTGTGGTTTGCTGAAGGCACCGAGCTGGGGCCCAGTTCGCTCTGCTAACAGGGAGATCAGCAGCTTTAGAGAGGTGTTAAGGATGTCTTCTCACCAAACTGAGACTTTCTCGTTGGCATCATCAGAAGGATTGAAAACAATGGAAAGGAGAATGACTTCTTTACAACGTGGTTCAATGTGATCTCAGACCAGGAGCTCCGGCCGCCCCGCTCATCAGCGCCATCCGTGGGCTCAGTCCCAGGCTAGGGGAGCCACCACCCTGGCTGTGTCCGCATGAGGATCACACGGCAGGTCCAGCCCATTGCTTGCAGATCTTCTCCTCCACACGGTCTAATCCCTCTCTGCTGTCATGTACCCAAATTCAAGGCCTGACTCAGATTCACTTCCTCCACAAATCATCCCCTGTCTCATCTGTTCCCAGGGCCACCTTCTTTCTGAGCCCCTGTGGGTCTCACCGGTTGCACAAGGCTGTCTCATATTTAATACTGCAGGGTGACTGCCCCCTCCCCCATTATTGCCTTGTAATAGCACCATTTAGAAACTACCAGAACAGCGCATAAGCTCCTTGAGGGCTGAGACCTTGACTGGGCCCTCCTTTGACGCTCAGGATATACAGGAGGGTTCTTTGATGTTCTCCGAGGGGTAAGGTCTTTCAGGAAAAAATGGAAAGACCAATTCCCCAAGCAGGCTCTAGGCTTATATTACAGGCCCCTTCCCTACTGGTGGGCTCAGCTGGAACAGCGTTTCCTTCTCAAGGAAGGGACACAGCCAAGAAAACCGACGCTTAATGCAAGCAAGCCACTATGGGGATGAGCTCAGTGCAGCCTGCGGTTTGTGGGAATGAATCTCCCTACAGTGGTGCACACGGCCCCACCGCGGGGCTGGTCCTCAGTGGCTGGGACCAGATGCCGGGGCAGAACCAATGGATGGCACAGGATTGACAAGTAGACCTGCCTGGCTGCAGGGCCCCAGCTGTTTCCTTCCAGGTGCAACTTGCCAGCATGGAAGCCACCAGCCCACACCGGTGCCTCCCTGCCTTGGCCTCCTCCCCGGGGCTTTGTTCTTTGTTCGGGGCAAGAGGACTCCAAGGTGTGGCTTGGCTTGGTGGAACCTGAAGGAGCTGTGCCCACAGCGGCAGGAAGAGACATTGTCTTTGAAACCCAGGAAAATTCTAAGGCAGCTCCAGGCCACACAACAGGAGCTGGTACAAGCTGATTACCGTTGCCACTGGGATTCTCCGAGTCCTGGGAATGGGACACACCCCTTCCTGCCCCCTCCACGGGTGGATACTGAACTGTGGGTTGAACGTGATATTGGCCGCTATGGCTTTGCAAACCACGCAAGAGTCTGTTTCTCCCAGAAGAGACAGGACATGGCAGGTAGAAAAAAGCAGCCAGGCCTCCTCTCCCCGAGAGGAAAGGGGGAGCATTTCCTCGGCAGGTGAGCCAACTCCAGACCCTAAGGATCAATGCTTTGGGGACATTAGACACCCCTCCCGCAAGCTGGCAGGCTCACCTGAGGTTCCCTTTGTTGGTGGCATACTTGATGTGGTTGCATATGTAGTTGAACATCCCGTGAGCCGTGGTGCAGTCGCGGGCATCGAACACCTGCCAGGGGTACATGGTGAGAGCGGTGCCTTCTCCTCCCCTCCTTGGCTCCCCCAGTGTGGCCTGCCCAGGCGGGGAGAACCTGGAGCCCACTCCACCTGCTGCCCCACTTGGGGAGAGAGCCCTCCACTAATGAGACCTAGGCTGGGTTTTACAGTGTTTTTTGTTTTTTGTTTTTTTTTCTATCCTCATAACCACAGTCATCAAACCAGGAAAAATCCCCCGAAAGCAGGCATGGCGTGTAGGTGCCTGTGGTTACAGGATGATGAGTAAAGGAGAGACTTTAGTGGGCTGGATGGATTTCCTGCTAGGTTACTAGGGATGAGGGATTTAAAAACAAAACAAATAACAACCAAACAAAACCCCCTTGAACTTGATAATGAATCTATTTCCAACTTCAAACTACTCCCCGGGGGACAGAGAATCGAATGCTTTCAGGGAGTACGCAGATAGTATAAATAAGCAAAGAGAGCAGGTGGAAGACAAAAGGGAGTGGTGGGGTCTGTGGTAAACTGGAGAGCATAAACCTTACCAAGAGACACCCAAGTTCCCTTTTAAACAGCACTGTGTTGGCTCAATGAGACATGACTATAAGGCAGATTCAGTCATGATCTGAGAATCTGGGACCCCATGACCACTATCTGATATCTCACCATGCCTTCCGGATGCCCTTGGAAAGAGCTGACCCTTTGTAAGGCTCATCCCTCCCCACCCACCAAAGAGCCTTACCGCCTACCTGCAGCTTGGACCACTGGATCCTGCCAACGCAGCGAGACGCGTTCCGCCAGGCATGCTTCGCCCCGTAGATGAGCTCCGTGTCTCTGAGCTGGTAGGTGCCGCTGGTTTCGATCTCTTTGTTCGCCTCTTCCAGCCTCTCTGTGTGGGCTTTGGAGCCAAATCTGAGTGAGGAAGGATAGGACATGGGATTGTCACCTCGTCTCCTGAATCAGGGGTCAGTGGAAGGAACGAGCCATTCCAGGAGGGCAGAAGCCACAGCAAGTCTGAGTTGGTATGTGGCCACAATAGTTCAAGCATAAGCAGATGGCAAACTCAAATGCCCACAAAGGTCCGGTAGTGACTGAACTGGCTGGGTGGGGACTGTGGCCAGTGGGTGAGCTTGTGCCCGGTTCAAAGGGGGGCAGCTAACACTCTGCTCCTGCCAGTTGTCATCTGGTAGGAATGGGGGCCCAGGGCTGCCAGGTCTCCTTTCAAGAGAAACTGGAAATCTGATTTTTATTTTAATGTTATTTATCTATTTATTTATTTTTAAAGATTTTATTTTTAAGTAATCTCTACAGCTAATGTGGGGCTCGAACTCACAACCCCGAGATCAAGAGTCATGTGCTTCACCAGCTGAGCCAGCCAGGTGGTCCTGGAAACAGATTTTTTTTTTAAAGATTTTACTTATTTATTTGAGAGAGCGAGCGAACACAAGCAGGGGGAGCAGCAGAGGGAGAGAGAGAAGCAGGCTTCCCACTGAGCAGGGAGCCCGATGCAGGGCTTAATCCCAGGACCCTGGGATCATGACCAGAGCCGAAAGCAGACGTTCAACCAACGGAGCCACCCAGGTGCCCCCAGAAATCTGATTTTTAAAGACAACCCTTCCTGGGGCTTTCTGCAGCTGTATAATATTCCATGACTTGGAAAATACCACTGCTTACTTACACATTCTCCTGTTGAGGGAGCTGAGGTGGTTTCAGTTGGCTCTTTGATTTTAATTTTTTTCCTATTATAACAATATCTCAGTGAACATTTTTATGTATGTCTTCTGGTGAACAATTGTGAGAGTTTCTTTAGGGTAGTATGCCTAGACACGGAATTGCTTGCGATGTTTCAAATTTAAGCAACACTTTGCAGGCCAAACAGAGACATTTCTGGGGGCCAGATTGAGCCCTTGGGCCACCAGTTTTCAACCTGTGTGTATGGAGGGCAGAGCCCTCATGCTTAGGTCTTGGTTCAACTGTCATAGAGTTGGAGCTGAAGTCTTTGTCCCAGTACTCGGTAATTCACCCTGGGTCCCCAGAGTCAACACACACTTGCCTTTTAATTGACGAGTAGTACTGATCGATGAACTCTTTGGCGAGAGGGAAGAGCTGTTCTTTTGTGCGGACATCTTCAGGCCTTCGTATTTGCTGAGAAGGGAGCATAATGGAGCCCATACAGATGTGCTCAGTGCATCCCGTTTCCTGGAGGGAAAAGAGAGAGTTGGATGATCACTTGGTTTTAGCACAAGTGGGGCTGTGGACCTGGATCTGACATTTGTCGTAGAGTTTACCTGGCCTTTAATTCCCAAATAGAATTTCTCAAGTACCAGCTTCAAATCATTGGATGATTTGACCATCATAGGATGGTGGTCATCAATCAAGGTAAGGATCGACAGGCAGTGTTTTCAGGTTCTGAAAGTGTTTGCTCTACTCAACTAGGGGAAGAGGGTCTTTCTGACTGGCATTCGCTGGGAATCAGACTCTTTGGTACTGAATCCCCAAATATTTTTTTTGATCCCATGTTGATCTAGAAGGAACTTGTAGGTGGTTGTAGTAGCTCATTTGAACACATCTCTGGGACATTGACTGCAAAAAAAATAGCCCCAATTCTTCTCTGCCCTATATTCACACCCTTTGCAATGTGACAGCTGACCCCTCAGATGACTGCAGATGCTTGAGATCAACTGAGACCAGGAGAACCACTGAGCCAATCTGTGGACTTTTGAAAAATAATAAGTGGTTGTTGTTTTTAAGCCACTGAGTTTCAGAGATATCTGTTACACAGCAATACCTAACCAATACAATGTTCTTCCAAGAGGCTCACTTTCAACAAAATGTAAAGCAACATGTTGATTGGCTGGCTATTAAAAATATGACATAAAAGTTTAGCTGAGATACAGTGAAAGCAAGGAAGGGCTTGTTCAATACTTCATCAGAGCTCTGGTTGCAAGAGACAGAGAAAATGTGTTCAGAACCAGCAACTCCTCCACCTTTGGGTTCTTTTGGGTTCAAGGTACACAAATAAAAAGTATTTCCTCGAGTGAAGAAGTAGCCACCAGCAGTTCTCAAGTGGGAGTGGATTTCCCACTTTTGGGTTCTTTTGGGTTCAAGGTACACAAATAAAAATATTTCCATGAGTGAATAAGTAGCCACCAGCAGTTCTCAAATGGGAGTGGATTTCCCACCCAGGGGACACTGAGTGATATCTGGAGACATTTTTGGTTGTCACAATTTCAGGGGGGTGACAGATATCTCGTGGGTATAGGCCAGGAGTGATGCTAAACACCACACAGTGCACAGGGCAGTCCCCACAACAAAGACTTAGCCAACACCAAACATGGTTAGTGTGAGGTTGGTCTACATCCTGCTGGGATACTCACCAGGGTGCTCTTAAGGTGAAGGGTGTCAGTGAGGACCACGTTGGTCTCCCAGTTCTTGACCTTGAGGAAGCGGGGGCACTTGGAGGGGCTGCCATTCTTTGTGGGAGACTGTTTTCCCGAGGCAGGGGGCTGGAGGAGAGAAGGAAGGATGGGACATTAGACAGGGTCCTGAGGACACTGGAAAACTGCCTCCACTGGGGTGGGGAGAAAAGTCGCTTTTCCTAGAATCTGCCAGAGTCACCAAGTATCTGCACAGAGTGAAGGACTCATTCTCCCAGGGTAACACATGCTAACCAGGGAACCTGGTGCCTCTGCCTATGCTGAAGGAGACACCGTGGAAAAGCCTTTTGTGTTCTGTTCTGCAGGGAGGGGCCTCTCAAAGGTGGCCTCGCTGGTGTCTAGCAAAGGTCCTAGCATATAGCAGGGATTCACTGAATGTTTGTTGAATGAGTAAATAACCAAGGGATGCTGTCAGCCTCTCTGAATGGTACCAGCTTTCAGGCCTGTGGATGTCTGGGCTTTCCTGTTACAGTCCAAACTCACTACTTCTGGTAAGTACTGGGAAAACAGGAAAGATCCAATTAGAAAGTTCTGAAGCATAGACTATTTCCCCCAAATGTCAGGTTTCTGCCTCTCAAAAATGCCAAGTGTATCCCTGCCTCAGGGCCTTTGCACTGACTGGTCCCTCTGCACTGAACACCTTCAGTCCCCCATTTTCTTCACTTCCATGCACAAAATGCCCAGTCGGTGGTGGGGGATAAGTCCTGGGCTCACCAACATTGGCCCATCCATTTTAGACCTCATTAATAAGGATTATATTCTGTCTTGGGTGTTTCTGAATAATTGTCTACCTGCCTATGCATCAGAAAAGCATGGGTGTCAGTCAGCAACTGGAAGGGAGAGGCAGCGGGCACACTCTGCCGCGTCAGCTGACTGAGAGAGGGAAGACAAGCCAGTATGGAGTGACACTCATGCCAAGAAGGGAGCACTGGATAGTGACCTTGCGGCAGGGCATTCACACACTCAACTGGTATTTATTGAACACCTACTGTGTGCTAGATACTGTTAGACACTGGGGACACTGTAGTGAACAAGACAGAGAGTGCCCTGGCCCTTCTGGGACACTGCTGGGAGAGAAGTGGAGATAAATCATAAGTAAACCCACACATGAACCCCTAGAATATCAGTTGGTGATAAGGATATATGATGATGAGGGGGAAAAAGGCAAGTGCAAAGGCCCTGAGGTAGGGATAAGCTTGTTAAGTTCATAGGACCAGCAAGGAGGCCAGTGTGGTTGGAGTGGAAGAGTGTGGTTAGTGTAAGGAGATGAAGTCAGACAGGAGGAAGGGTCCTCATCTCATTGGCTTGGAGGAAATCAGGCGGGTGAGGAAGATGTGAATTACAACGAAGTGGGCTGAGTCTGGGAAAGAAATCATAGAGTATGCTGAAGGGCTAATATTGTAAACCGGCATTCAAGAAGCACTTACTATATGTGAAGCAAAATCTTATCATGCCCATTTTACAGATGAGGAAACTGAGGCACAGAAAGGTTAACTAAGTTGTCCAAGGTCACAGAGTTAGTACACTGGAGCCGGGAGTCAAATCCTGGCAGTCTGCCCTTCAAACCATGTCCTTAACTACTGGACTCTCCTGCCTCTTGGCCGTTATGTATAATTCATTCATTCATTCATTCATTCAACATGTGTTTATTGAGTATCTCCTATGTTCCAAGCAAGGTTGCAAGGGCCAGGCTACAGTGACAAACTAGATAGATGTGATTTCTGCCCTCATGGAGTTCACAGTGCATTGTGGGAGTGAGGGGAGGGATGACAGGTGTATGATCATTATAATCAAGGGCAATGGGTGCTATAACATGGGATGTTGGCGGTGTATAAGGAACCGTGGAAGCACAGAGAAGAGGCACCTAACCCAGAGCATTTGACTTCTAATTGAGACCTGAAGGACAAGTAGGTGTTAATCAGGCAAAGAGAGAAGAGCAAGGTCTTGCAGGCAGAAAGACCAGCTTATGCAAAGGTCTTGAGGTGAGAGGCATATCATAGCCTCCAGAACCATGCAAGTGACAGCAGAGAACAAATGGAAGGTGCCATGACTCATGATCTTCCACACCTCTCTGCTGTGGCCAGATCCAGTCATCCCCAGTGGTTCCCATCTCAGTGCTGGGCATCACCATCCATCTGCCTGGGCAAGCCATTGGGGGGGTGGGGAGCTATCCTGGACATCATTCTCTTTATCTCCCTGCACCTGATCCGTCCCCAAGTCCCACCATTTTAGCTTCTAAAGAGCTCTAGAATCTACTCCCTATTCGTTCTCCCCATTTAACTGACCAGCATGCCGGCCAGACCAACATCATCTTTCAGTTGGATGAATGCAATCACCTCCTAAATCCTAGCCATCACTTACTGCTACTGGTGTTATAATCCACACCAGCAGGTTTCAGTACTATAATCTACATAATCATCTATGGTACACCTGTTAGTCCTATTGGTACTGCCATCGTCACAAGTATTACTACAGTCCGTCCACACCAGGAGCAGAAGGATGTAGAAGAATTCTTCCCTTCTTTCCCATTTGAACTTTCTGCCTGCTAAGCTCAAGTTATTTTCCTTCTGTCCCTTGTGAAGCCACATCCCAGACAGCTCCATTTCCTTTGAAGGCCTGGACAGACAGCCCCAACGCTTCTTTAAGATCTGTCTTCACTGCGGTCTCTTCTGGCAGACATGCAGGGGGGGAAGTGATCTTTGGGCAAGACTTGGTAGCGACAAATTCCTCCGACCATGCCAACAGCCTGAAGCCATGAGAACCAAAAAATCTGACCTTGCCCAGGTGGGAGGCACCCCAGCGAACCTCCCTAAAGACTGAGCATCACTCAGCCAGTCTGCAAACTCTCTTGACCATCCACATGGATGCCTAGAGGCTGGGGAGAGGCTGGAATCCCAGATGTGAGGTAACAGACACAGTGGGGAGCACCGTGAGGCAGGAGGAGGAGGTGTGGGGTGCGGCTGGTGGGTGGGCAACCAGCAGCCTTCGTTGGCAGGGTGTGGTGGGAGTGAGGTAACAAGCATAATGAAAGAGGCCATCTTTTGAGGTTCCAGATGTGTGATGGGTGGTCGTTACGAGCCAAGAAATTGGGGGCCCGGGCGTGAGCCGTGCCTCTCCACCCTGGGCTGTGTTGAACTGCACACTTGAAACCAGGCATTAGGAGGCCCCTGGCAGGGCTGTTGTACTTGGGGCTCTGATGTTTTAATTAGCCAGCAGTAATATTAGATGACTCAGGAGGGGACAAATGGGGAGATTAATATAGCAGTCAGGGGCCCTGCATGGGGGATGCAAATGATTTTTCTGAGTGGGGACGGAAACGTTCTCGCTAAAAATGCAGATTAGGGGCACTTGTGAGTTATTAAGCTGGGGACAGGGCACAAGTGGGCTTTGGGCAGCGTTTACACGCGTCCTTTCCTGGATTTGTGTCTGGGGTGGTCAGTGGAAGCTTTTCAGGTGGCGGGAGACACTGGCTAGATCTTGGTGGGCTCTGTGGGAGGGCTGCCTGGGATTGCTCCTAAATGGGGACAGGAGGCTCTGAACTTGTGGGCATTTCAAAGGCTCTGTCAACACCTCTTTGCTTCTGGAGCCGGCAGGGTTCCTGAAGAAATGGAAGGCAATGGTCTTGCAGCCAGAGGGGAGATAGAGAGGCAAGGCCCTATCAGCCCAGAGCCCTGAGCCCGGAATTCAGCTTTGTAGGTACCCTGACACCCTGTTTCATTCCGCCCTCTCCACCCCGCCCTCCTCTCTCCCCTTCAACAAATACCTATTGAGTACCTACTGTGCGCCCGGAACTCATGTTCTTGGCCCTACAGTGGTTGCCACTCTCATCCCACAACTGGGGGAAGCCTCGTACACCTGCATGCAGGGATCTGCAAACTGCAGCCCGTGGGCCAAACCTTGTCTGCTGCCTGTTTTTATACAGCCCACAAGTTAAGAATGATTTTTCCCTTCTTAGCCCCTTGAATAAAAATATCAAAAGAAGAGTAATGTTTCATGACACAAGTTATAGGAAGTTCAAATTTCAGTGTCCATAAATAAAGTTTTATTGGCACATGGCCACACTCATTTGTTTTTTTTTTTTTTAAAGATTTTATTTATTTATTTGAGAGAGAGAGTGAGAGAGAGATCATGAGCAGGGAGGAGGGGGAGATGGAGAAGCAGACTCCCCGCTGAGCAGGGAGCCCCATGCGGGACTCGATCCCGAGACCCTGGGATCATGACCTGAGCTGAAGGCAGATGCTTAACCCCCTGAGCCACCCAGGCGCTGCGCCCACGCTTTATTCTTCTTCAAGTCACTTTTCACTGCCTGCAATTTGTGAGTGTATATGTATCTGCATGTATATATATCTATGTCTCTGTGTCTTATAGATCTGTATATATATATATATATATATGTAATGTCTACAGATATTTAGATACAGATATGTCCAGCCCCTAGACGAGTGTCCAGCATATAGTACATACTCAACAAACACCTGAGGTTTGCCACAGACTGAACTGTGTCCCTCCTGAATTCATATGTTAAAGCCCTAACTTACTGGAGACAGGACCTCAGGAAGTAATTAACATTAAAAGAGGCCATAAGAGGGGCGCCTGGGTGGCTCAGTCGGTGAAGCATCTGCCTTCGGCTCAGGTCCTGATCCCAGGGTCCTGGGGTCGAGTCCCGCATCGGGCTCCCTGCTCAGCGGGGAGCCTGCTTCTCTCTCTCCCTCTGCTCCTCCCCTCCCTTGTGCTCTCTCTCTCACTCATTCTCTCTCTTAAACAAACAAATCTTTAAAAAAAAAAAAAAGAGGCCATAAGAGTAGGACTTAATCTGATAGGATTAGAGGCCTTATAAGAAGAAGCAGAGAAACCTCTGTCTTTCTTTTTCTCCCTCCACGCATACACAGAAAGGCAGAGTAAGGACACAGTGAAGGTGGCCGTCTCGGAGCCAGGAAGGAAGCCCTCGCCCGATGTGACCGTGCTGGCGCCCTGACCTTGGTCTGCTAGCCTCCAGAACTCTGAGAAGAAACTTTCTACGTCTAAGCCACCCAGCCTGTGGTATTTTTGTGATGGCAACCCAAGCCGAC